TCGGCGCTGGACCCCCTTCCTGGCGCGTGGAGCGTACCAGGGTCGACGCCGGAGGCGCCGCCAAGGGGGGTCCAGCGCCGATCCGAGAAACCCGCGCGGACCTCCGAGCTTTTATGTTTATGTCATTGCTCGTTCCCCTAATCACGTCGCCATCGTCACCCAACAAGAAACATCCGGGCAGACCTGGGGCGGACTGAACCGAGGGGTAGCAGCAGCAGTGCCCCATCTCCTGAAACAGGCCGGGGCGCCGCAAAAGCAGCGACCCTCCACAGAACGGCTCGGGAGGAAGAGCCGGCCCCGTGGAAGAGGTCGAAAGAGCCTCAGGCCATAGGCGAGCCTGGGGGTATGTTGCTCCCATCGTACTTGAGGACCACATCCCAGACATAATTTCGAGCACCCAGAAAGATATCGAAACAGTTTCGGACGAGTATCGCCTCCCAGGGCCCGACACGTGAAAAACCTCAAATTTCCGCACTTTCTGGGTGCTCGATTTCTTGTTGTCGGGTGATGATGAGAAGGAGGAGGAGGAGGAGGAGAAGGAGGAGGAGGAGGAGGAGGAGGAGGAGGAGGAGGGACGAGCTTCGATTCCCCACCGAAAGCTTTGGGGGGGGGGGGGGGGCAGCAATAAATACCCTACGAAGGTAGCAGGAAATAGGAGGAAAGAGGAAGAGGAAGGAAGAGGAGGAACGAGGAATAGGAGGAGGAGGAAAGGAGGCGGAGGAGAGGAGGTTGAGGAGCATGCCCCCGTGGCCGACCGAGCTGCCCGCCGCCGCCGCGCGAGGGCGCAGGCCACCGCGTGCCGCACGCCAACAGCGCAGCCAGCGCGGCACCACGCCCGCTGGGTGCGCGTGCCACGCGGCGCGGACCACTACCACGACCACGACCACGACGACGACGACGACCACGACTCCGACTCCGAAGATTCCAGCTCCGACGACTCCAACTCCGACACCGACTCCGACGACGACTCCGACTCCGAAGACGACGACGACGACTACGACGACTGAGACGACGACACAACACCTTGCTCGCGCCCGACGGGCGCGCGTGCAGTGCGCGGCATCCGCAAGTCCTCCTCCTCTTCCTCCTAACGAGCTGGAGCTGAAGGCGATGGAATCCGTTGGATGCAGCCCCCCTTCCCCAGGGCCGGCCGGGCCTTCCTCTCCAGGATCGAGGATCGAGAACTAAACTCCTCCTCCTCCTCCTCCTCCTCCTCCTCCTCCTCCTCCTCCTCCTCCTCCTCCTCCTGACAACCTGACGAGCTGAAGGCGATAGGACCCGTCGGATGCAGCCCTCCCCCGCCAGGGGCCAGTCGGCCCTGGGGGGGGATCAAAGTAACAGCCAGGCGACTCCTGAAGCGTTCGCTCCAGGAGTCGCCGGCTGAGGAAGATGCTATGATGCGAAGGGTAGCGACAGCAGTGAAAGTCAAGGTCTCCTCCTCCTCCTCCTTCTCCTCCTCCTCCTTCTCCTTCTCCTCCTCCTCCTCCTCCTCTCCTCCTCCTCCGTCTCCTCCTCTCCCCCCTTGCCTCCTCCTCCTCCTCCTGCCTCCTCCTCCTCCTCCTCCTCCTCCTCCTCCTCCTCCGCCTGCCTCCTCCTCCTCCTCCTCCTCCTCCTCCTCCTCCTCCTCCTCCTCCTCCTCCTCCTCCTCCTCCTCCTCCTCCATCCCCCACCCCCCAACGGGAGAGGAAGACTACGCCGCGATGGTGCTCGAGCCTTCCCCTTCTCCGCGCCGCCTCCCGCGCCTCTGCCCCCTCCCCCGCCTTCCGCTCCTGTGCCCGACGCCGAGCGACGCAGGATCCTACAGCGAAGGACGCCGAGGCATGCCGCAGGCGCCGCGTGCAGCGCGGCTCCGTGGGCCGCGAGCAGCCTCTCTCGAGCTGCCTCTCGGCGGGGAGCGCGCCCGCTCTCTCCTCGAGCCGGCCTGCAGGGGGCTGCAGGCCAGCACGCGCAGGCTCCCGCGCAAGGCAGCGGCCCCGAGCGATCCGTCCCTCCTTCTACAAGTACTCAATATGAATACTACTCTCCCTCTTCCCCTGATGACGTTTCGAAAGTGCTTTGACAATATTAGCCCCCCCCCGCGGGTGTTTTTTTTACACGTACAGGTTTCCTTGGGGTTGGGTTTTCGCCTGCATTCCTTTTCCAAAATGCTGCTCTCGCTGAGGCGCTGGCCTCATTTTCGGGCCCCGCTCGTTCCGAATCGTCAGCGCTGGCGTCATTTCCGCCGGCGCCCGGGCTGCACGCCCGAGCCGGCGCCCGGGCCGGCACTGGGGCTGGGTCTGGAGCCGATTCCGGCCGGCGCTGGAAAATCGAGTTCCGAGGCGGCGCCGAAAAAAGGCCATTTTAATACACATTCTTCTTTTGAACATGCTGCATTTCTGCTTCCGGCGCCCGGGAAGCCTCCCGGGCCGATTCCGACGCCCGGGCCAGCGCCCGAGCCGGCGCCCGGGCTGGACGCCCGAGCCGGCGCCCGGGCCGGCGGCCGGGTCGGGTCCGGAGCCGGTTCCGGCCGGCGCCGGAAAATCGAGTTCCGAGGCGGCGCCGAAAAAAGGTCATTCCAATACACATTTTACTTTTGAACATGCTGAATTTATGCTTCTGGCGCCCGGGAAGCCTCCCGGGCCGATTCCGGCGTGCTTCCGCTCGTTCCGAATCGTGCTCCCGCTGCAGCGCTGGCCTCACTTCCGCGCTTCCGCTCGTTTCGACTCGTGCTCCCGCTGCAGCGCTGGCGTCATTTCCCGTGCCATGCCACGGCATGCAATGCAATGCTAGGTTGATACTGCGCTTCGCGGTGCTCTTCTACGCCATGCCATGCCGTGCTCTACAATGCATCGCGTGCCCTTTCGTGATCATTGCCCTGCTCGACATCCGACTGTGCGAGTAGAGAGGGGATTTGCGCCATGGTAAGGGATGGGAGGGAGGGGTCGGGTGTCAGATATGACGCGAGCGCACCTAGCTTTCCTCCTCCCCCTCCTCCTCCTCCTCCTCCTCCTCCTCCTCCTCCTCAACCACTGCGGCAGAGTCCCCTGAAGAGCTTTGCACAGGTACACCACGGGCGGCAACGATTTGACTACCTACCAAAGCACCACACAACCCAACTCGAAGACCCGAATTTCGGGTTGAGGGGGGGGGGTACGGGTTCCTTATGTGTTTTCTCAATGTTCCCCAGCCCACCCCCCACTGGAAATGGCGGGCAAGTTGGGGCCTTTGGGTTGGGTTGGGGTGGTTTAGTGGGTGGTGACGATGGGGGGCAGCGATGGGGGGCAACGACTGGGGTGAACAGTGGGGGGCAACGACTGGGGTCAACGAGAAGCCGCCGATCTCGGCGGCCTGGGCTGGGGGCAACGATGGGGGGACAGTGATGGGCCGCCGATCTCGTGGGCCAGGCGCTCCTCATCGGGCGCTAGACGGGCATATGTGTACACACATACTTAGGTTATCTGTGCATGTGCATGCACATGTTTGTTTATATGCATTGCTGTATAGACATATGTGATCGATATACACATGTATGTATATTTTCATATATATATATATTCACAGATGTGTATATACATATCCTACAAGCAAACGGTCTAAGGAATCAAATTAACTACGCCCTCCAGGGGCAGATCTCGGGATCCGAAACCTTCCGCAAGCATCTGGCCCCGCGCGCGCGACGAAAAACTGGCCCTGGGGGGCGGAGGGTCCAATGCTCTCGGGGGTCCACGTTGCGTGAACCGACCACGATGTCGGAGCCCTGGGCATGGTCGGGACACTCTAGGCCGGGCTACTCCATGGGGGGGGCCCCAAGACGGCCACAAGAAAACCCCCAACAAGGTCGGAAACGGCCCGTATCATTCATTTACCACCAATGTATCGCATTCTCGCCTTTCGGGCTTCTGTCACCTCCAGACGGCCCTAGAAGCCTCCAAGATGGCCCGAGGACGGCCCAAGAGGGCCCCAAGATGGCCCAAGAGACCCAACGATAAGGGCTTGCTCAAGGGGGTTATGTTGTTCTCATCCTACTTAAGGACCGCATCCCAGAAATGTCGAGCACCCGGAAGAATGTCGAAAGAATGTCGAAATAATGTCGAAACAATATCGGGCGAGTGTCTCCCAGGGACCGACACGTGAAAACCATCGAGTTTCGGTATTTTCTGGGGGCTCGAAATTCTTTCTGGTGATCAAGGCTAGAGTAGGTTGGAACATCATAACAAGGGGGGGACATCGACCTGCAATCGGCGTTACATCGCCAATCGATCGGCACGAATCAGCACATTCCTGTAGTAAATCCGAACGTTCCTGGGCAGGGTGGGCTATCAGGCCTCTGTCGACGATCATAGGGCAATTGGGTGTCGATGCATCTCCCCTTGAGCCTATGCTCCCGCACGCTGCCACTGAGTCAGGAAGCGACGCGGGTTGTTGGACTTGCCCGCCTTCGTGCTGGGCCTGGTAGAACACATGGCAATGCGCACCCCTCTGTCGACGTTTTTGTCTTCTCGCAAAATGTATAAGCAAAGTTGGTGGAGTTTGCGGGTAGGGGGCTGGGACAGGGGATAGGCACCATTGAGAACTGGTGGATGCAATGGAGCTCTCTGCCCCTCTCCACTCCACTAGCTCTACCAGCCCAACCGCCTCCTGGAACTGGCTGGGTTGATGTGGCTGGTGGAGCCTGCGGTGAAGAGCCGGGCCTGCTGGTTGGTGGCTGGTGGAGCCCGATGGAGCCCTCGATGGGCACACCCGGGCTGCCGTTGCGGGAGGGCGCCCTGATCGGCTGTGCGCCAGGGCGGCGCCCTGTGCAAGGGGGACCTCTGGTGCGCGGCGGCGCCCAGGGCCGCGAAGGGGGGGGGGCCCGGTCCGAGCGAGCTGGCCGGTGCTGGGGTGCTGGGGGGGAGCCCTTCTAATGTGAGCCCGCACCAGCAGTCCCTCCAGTGAACGGTCACTCCCAGAGATCCGGTGCCGTGACTTTATCCACTGCGGGGCCCCCGGACGTCTCGACCCGTTCCCCGGGACCGGTTCTTCACCCTGAGTCGTTTTCTGCTGACGGTCCCGGGGCCCCGTGGGGGCCCCAGAGGCCGAAATAAGGGAAAAACCCGTCGTGATTTTGGGGATATGGGAAGGTACCGATACCGCTACTCCCCGGAACTCTCCCAGGGTGCGTTCTGACTAGAATTTCGAGGCGAATCCAGCGGTGGCGACGAGGGCCTCCCATGGAGGCCCCAAACGGGGAGAACGAGGGTTAAGAGGTAGCGGCATGGGTACCTTTTCCTCCCCCGAGACTTTGTCAATGCGCTGGATCCCTGGGCTCTGACGTGCCGTCGACGCGAGCACGGCCAGCGCCCCGCCGCGGCCGGCCGGCGCGCCGAGGCCCCCGCGCGCGCCGTGCGCAGCGGCCCCTTCAGGGGCGCCGGGCGCCGCCGGAGGTGCCGCTGGCCGGCGGGCGCCAGAGCGTGGCGAGGGCGCTGCGCCGTCGGCTGCATGCTGGGGGCACACGGGTGGGCGGGCGGGGGCAGTCCAAGACCCCCTCGCGTCGTGAGGAGACGACCCTGCCCTGGGTTGCAGTGCGTGGTCTGCGAACCTCCTGGGAACCCCCAAAGCCTATAGAGCCGCCAGGACGCGGCGCAGCACGCAGGGTGTATACCCTGTCAGCCCACAGGAGTTGCAGCGCACAGCGCCTCGTAAACCAGGGTAGGGGCGCTCTTTTTGCCCTTGAATGACAAACATCACGAGGGGAAGTGTTTGGCCATTCTCGGCCTCCGGGGGCTCTGTGCCGGGCCTCGGGGCCGTCACGCAACGGCTCGGGACGAGAAGCCGGTCCCGGGGAACGGGTCCAGAACTCTGGGGGTCGATGTTGCGAAACATTCACGACGTCTGGGGTGTGGGGTGGCAAGCAGTTTTCGTTTCGTTTTCGTTCAGTTTTTCGTTCTTCCTCGTGTGGCCTTCGCTTCGCTTGAATGCAGCGCAGGACGAAAAACAAAACGGCCCAGAAGGTGGCCAAAGCATCGTTTAGGTCCAGCTTGGGTGGCAGGTGAGCGACGATCAAGAACAGGTCTTACGCGAGATGGCTCGGCGACCTGACGCCGCAGCTTGCGCGGGCCGCCCGCGCATCACGCCACATTGGAGACGAGGGCGCTTACGCGCGAGCTTAGGCGGGCAGCTTACGCGCCAATGTCAGCGCAGACGACCCCGCTTTCTTGCGCCGCTCAAGAGGCAAGCGGGCGCGTTTCCGAAGAGGCCCGGAGCACGGGCGCGCGGCAGGGGGAAAACCAAACTCGGCTCGGTCTTCAGCGACGGCCAAGCGAAGTCCAGTTTGGTCTTAAACAACAGACCTCCTCGTGCTGTGAACAAATCACCTCGGGGGGGGCTTTCGCTATTTCTTCGGCCTCCGGAGGCCCCTTCCCGGGCCTCGGGACTGTTGAAAAACGGCTCAGGATGAATAAAACCGGTCCCGGCGGGGAAGGGGTCCAGACCTCTGGGGGTCGACGTTGCAAAGAAATCGCAACGTCGGGGGTCCAATTGAGGTGGCAGGTGGCAGGTGGGCGCGTCTCCGAAGAGGCCCAGGAGCACGGGCGCGCGGCGGGGAGCTCCACCGAAGCTCGGCTCGTGTCGCGGCCTCGGGGCCGCGAGCGCGAGGACGGAGTCGCCGCGCAAGCGCGCCCACACCCGAGCGCGACAGCACCAGAGCACAAGAGCGGCAACAACAACGCAGAACACCGCAGGGGAGCGCTGGGGAGAGGGGAGGGGAGAGGGTTATGTTGTTCCCGTCCTACTTCAGGACCGCATCCCAGAAATAATTTCGAGCACCCGGAAAAGTGTGAAAAGAGTGTCGAAACAGTGTCGGGCGAGTGTCTCCCAAGGCCCGACACGTGAAAACCCTTGAGTTTCGGTACTTGTTTGGGCGCTCGAAATTCTTCCTGGAGATCAAAGCTAAAGTAGGTTGGAGCATCATAAGGAGAGGGGAGGGCACGAAAGGTCGACCATGCGCCTTATAGGGCGCGTCGGCGCTCGCTGCAGGCGCTCGGGCGAGCTCGAAGAGCTCCTCGGTCCGCCAGTCCACACACCCTATCAGCACCACGTGCTCGAACGGCGTGCGGGCGTAGTTGTTTAGCCCCCTCCAACTGGGGCCCACGGTCCTCCCGAACGTGTGCATGTCGTTCACTGACGTCAGAGTCCCGGGGTCGAACACAAAATCCTGCACGGACGCTGCCTCAACGTGTCTACCGTCTGCAGATGCTGGCGGCAAGCGCGGGGCGGAAATGCGGTGGGGCGGGTCTTTTCAGAAGGCTCAGAAGCCCCCCCGGCCTTCTGAGAAGCTGCCTGAGCCTTACCCCGAGACCCAGCAAAAACTCCTTAGGCTCGAAGGGGAGGGACTTCCTCAAAAGGCTCGATGGCTTCCGAGAAGTCCCGCCGCCTTCCGAGAAGGACTTCTCCCTCTCACTCCCCCCCGTCGTCGCCTCGCAGTCGCCAGTCGCCAGTCGCCGTTGCCGCCGCCGCCCCCGCCGTCGTCGCCGCGGTCGCCCTCCTCCTCTTCCTCCTCCACCCCCTCCTCCTCCTCCTCCTCCTCCTCCTCCTTCTCCTCCTCCTTCTCCTCGTACCTCTCCTCCCCTCCTCCTCCTCCTCCTCCTCCTCCTCCTCCTCCTCCTCCTCCTCCTCTTCTCCTCCTCCTCCTCCTCCTCCTCCTCCTCCTCCTCCTCCTCCTCCCCCCCTCCTGCTCCTCCCTCTTACTCCTCTTCCTCTTACTCCTCTGACTCCTCCTCCTCCTATTCCTCTTCCACCTGCTCCTCCTCCTCCTCCTCCTCCTCCTCCTCCTCCTCCTCCTCCTCCTGCTCCTCCTCCTGCGCGAAGCGCCAAAGTGTATGTTTATGGCGGGTTTTCTTCTTCGATGACGGGCCGAAGGGGCAAGGATGCAGGGGTCACCCTGGAAAGGCTTACTGTGCGGGCTGGCTGTAGCCAGCCTCCCGCCAGCGCTTTGATCAGCGCTTTGATCAGAGTAGAATCGCGACCAGGCGGGTAGGCCCAGGAGGACCCACCTGGCAGACTCGGGACATTCCGCGTCGGTGAAAGAGCACGACGGACAGTTGTCGCTAGCTTTCGCCCTCTGGAGCCCTCTCCAGGCTCCAGCCTGTCACATTCAGAAGGAACAGCTGTTCCCGGGGATGGGGTCCAGACCTTCCCCGAGATCCAACGTGGCGAAAAACATACAACGTCGTACAAAAAAACACGCCCGGAACCCTGGACCACACCTTCCTGCGCCATTTTTCGCGCCGGATCGATCTGCGAGGGCCCCGAGGACCGACGAAAAGCGCGAGAACGCCCCTCGTCAGAAAACATTGCAGCGCCAAGAGCTCAGGGTCCAGGGGCCCACGTCGTGAGCAAAAATCACGCCGTAGGGGGCCCAGGGGAGGGGAGGGGGCGGGAGGCGAGGCGACCCTGTGTCGGGCGTTGGCAGAACTGGGTTTCGTGGGACCTGGTTCAGTGATGTGTACTGGGGGACGCCCCCCCCACCACGTTCCACTAGCCAGAACTGCCGTCACCCGAAAACAAACCAGCTACGGCAGACCTGGTTCAGGGATTCTGGTAAATTTTAGGGCTCCGGGGGCCTTCCACTAACCGAGCCCCCTTTTACCTGGAGTCCTGGCTATACCCGACTGGGACCCAGGCGTTGCAACGTTTTGTTCCGCACCGGGCGCTGCGTTTCTGCCCCGCTCAGGGCACCTGGCCCCTCAAGTGCCGAGCTGGCTCGAAGGAGCGCCTCAGCGCAGGGTGGGGTCCAGAATGCAGGGCGCCGGTCGTGACTGCCACAGCGTCGGAGCTCGGGGGAGGGAGGGACAACGTCTCCGATCTTCTCGGCATGGGGGCAAGGCACAAGCTTTCTGATCCGCGGGTCGAGAGCGCACCTCTTCCGGTCGAAGCTAAGCGGGCCGCGCGAAGCTTCAATTAGGCAGAGAAGAGGAGGGAGGAAACGGCGGAGCGGCAGGGCACAGGCACGAAACGGCCGACTGAAAGCATGATTGGCAGCCCGCAGCTGTCCTAGCTGCACTTGCGGCGTTGCCGCTGCCCTGTCAGACGCTCACCCGCCGCAGCCAGTTTCAAAATTAACCTCCACAGATCTGCAACACAAGGGAGGGGCGCGATGAGAGGGAGGGGGGGATGGGGGAGGGGGAGGGGAGATTGCGAGGGGAAAAGATATGCCGGCGAAGGTCCCAACCATACAGGATGTAGTTGTGGGCACCCCAGTTCAGAAGATCCTCTCCGGTGAAGCCCCCTAATGGGGCCACCAATATGGGCTGGGAACCACATGCGAACCATGACACTGGGGCCTTCGATGGTGCTCTCTGTGGGGCCACAGGACGTGTGAGGGGTTGGCCGACGCGGGCGGGGAACCGCATGCGAACCATGCCACTGGGGCCTTCGATGGAGCTCCGTATGGGGCCACGAAGCGAGTGAGGGGTGTGCCGAAACGGGCGGGCAATCGCATGCAGACCCGGCCACTGGAGGCTTCGGTGGAGCTCCCTATGGGGCCGCGAAGCGCGTGAGGGGTGTGCCGAAAAGGCCGGGCGGAGGGCGCGGAGGCGCACGAGGGAGGAAAAAGGCACCTGCATGCACCTGCGAAGCGCCCGGGGGGCGCTTGGATGCGAGGCGGGCCTCGAGCGCGCCTGCGAGGCGCTGGCCAACCGCTGCTGACACGTTTCGCGCGCACGCCTGATGCACACCTTGAAACCGGAACAATCCCCATGCAACACACCAAGAATCGTTGCTCGCGTGCTGGTGACGCCGTTGTCGCTGTGGCTTCCGCAGAGCGTAGGAGCCGCATTTGGAAAACGCCTGCGGGACACGCGGCACGTCCAAACAGGACCCTGCACGGATGCCTGAGCGGCTGCGCGTGCAAGTGCGCCCCCCCCCCCTCATCCTTCCCATCCTCCTCCCAATGACCTCCTCCCCCTCCTCCTTCCTGTCCTCCTCCTCCTCCTGCTCCTCCTCCTCCTTCCCATCCTCCTCCTCCTCCTCGACGAACTTTCCGCAACGGGCTCAACTCCACTCCACTCCACTCCACTCCACTCCACTCCACTCCCTCCCTCCCTCCCTTCCTCTCTCCCTACCTCCCTCCCTCTCCTCCTCTCCTCCTCCTCCTCCTCCTCCTCCTCCTCCCTCCTCCTCCTCCTCCTCCTCCTCCTCCTCCTCCTCCTCCTCCTCCTCCTCCTCCTCCTCCTCCTCCTCTCCTCCTCCCCTCCTCCCCTCCTCTTGACTCTTCCTCCTCCTATTCCCTCCTCCCCCTCCCCTCCTCCTCCTTCTCCCCCCCCCGCCTGCAGGGCACTCCTCCCCGCCCTCCTGCGCCAGCGCGCGCCCCCGCACACCGCCCGCGCGCGCGCGCCTGCGCCTCCACGAACCGTCGCGCGCGCCGGGGGGGGGCGCGCTCGGCGGCCCCGGCCGCGGCCCGCGGCGGTGGCGCCCCGGCGCTGCGTGGCGAGCCGGCACACGGCGACGACACGGGGCCCAGACCTCCAAAGACTCGAGAGTTTCGGCGGCGAGCGCGGGGGGGAAGTGAGAAGGGGCGGGCCTCCTCGGAAGGCTCGGGAGCCCCCCCGGGGCTTCTGAGAAGGCTCCTGAGCCTTACCCCAAGACGCAAACTCTCAAGGCGCGAGGGCTTCTGAAGAGTCCCCCGCCGCCTTCCGAGAAGGCCTTAACCTTCTCATTTCCCCCCCTCGCTCGCCGCCGAGAGTTGCTCGGCGCGGGGATCCCTATGAGTGCTCCTTCAACGAAGGCGAAGCCAGGACGAGGATAAGAAATGGGGTGAGGATCAACGAGAATCTCTGAGATCCGGCGGCTCTGGAGGATGTCTCTGGCGCCGCGGCATTCTCAGAGCGTTCCAGAACGCTCTGAGAACGTTCTGGAACGTCCTGGAACGGATTGTCCTCGTCGTAGCCCCGTCCGATCAACGTTGACAGGCTCGTTTTTGCCCGAGGGCCTCGCGTTTCTTCGACAGTAACGCGCAGATGGGCTGCCCGCGGCGGGGTGTCATGGACACTGGTGTTTTGCACCTCGTGTTTTGCTGATGGACAAGCAAAGCACTATGACATGCTCGGCGACACATGCATGTTTTTTTTCTGCTTGGTGACGCATGAGGGGAGGCCACCGGGCTGCCGGGAATGCTGCGCACGCGAATGGGATTGAAGCGTCCAGCCACATAGACTGGAGATCCCCGTACGTGTGTTTGTTTTCTGGCGGGCTCCCTGTGTATGGGTGCATGACATGAGCGAGCCTGGAGCAGTGAGCGTGTGAGTTTCGGTACGGCTCTCTGGACACGGCCGGCAATCCCCACATTTCTTCTCGATCTCGGCATATACGGGCAGCCAGTTCTCGGGTCCTGGGGCCCTCAGAGGCGGACCTCGAGCGAGAGCCTGCCTTGTTGGGAAAGGGGCGGGAACTCGGGGGCACACGGGTGGCGTCGGATGCCCGGGGAGGGAGATGCAGGTCAGGGGCGAGGAGAGGGTGAGGAGAGGAGCGAGGGGAGGGGGGGAGAAATAGGAGGAGGGAGCAGGACCGCAGGCGCGGAGGAGCGGGAGAGAAGAAAGAGCGGCGGGAGGGGGAGAGGAGAGAGGGCGAGGAGAGAGAGGGGGGGGGAGGAGGGGAGAAGCGGCGGGCAGGAGGCAGCAGAACGGAGGGGGGGCAGGGGAAGTGGAAATGAACATGCGCAGCGAGGAGAGAGGCGGGGAGGATGGCGGAACCGAGACGTGCGATCGTCCTCGCGGCCCTGTGGCGGGGCCAACGTGCACGCCGCAGGGACGCGCGCCCGGGTCCTTTATCATGAAGTCCACCGGTTGCAGCTCCCGGGTGATCTCGTGCCTGAGGTTAGCCGCGAGAGGCGCATCGAAGACGCATTCCTGACACCAACTCTCAAAAGCGGCACCCGACAAGCACCATGACGTCGCCGGCATATTCTTTGAGAGGAGCGGCCCAAAGAGGAAACCTGGACGGACGTTTCGAGCCGTTCGCCCCAAGGTGGCCCCGATTGCCCCCAAGAGGCCCCCGAGGCGCCCCCAGGAGGAGCCCACGAGGTCCAAATCAGGGCCCCAGAGGCCCCGAAGAGGCCCCCAGACAGTGGTCTCCAAGAGGCTCTCGAGAGGCCCACCACGAGATCCCCGCAGGCATCCAAGGGGCCTCTCACGGAGGCAGACTGGGCCGAGGCCAGTAAATATAAGCGGTTCGATCTAATATTTTCCTTTTTCTGGATACCGTTGCTTGTGCCACCATCATCAAGTTGACGGTTTGCGCTCGTACTCTTCTCGTCTGCCTTTCTCTTCTTGCGGCTCCACCTCTTCCCCCTGGTTCTCAGCTCCCCATCCCTCCTCCCTCGGCCCCGCCCCCATCTCGGGGGCGATGATGGGGGCGAACAGTCCTGGGGAGAGCAACACATGTATTCAGGGGCGCCGATAGTTCATGCCTTCAGCAAGGCCCCCGGGCGACTACGTGCGATGCTCGCCCCTGGGATATTCGCCCCGGCCGTCGCCTCCGACCCCCGCCTGGCTCCCAGACGTGATGCAGGCTTGGTCATCATCCTCGGAAACGCCCCGGCACTCCTCGGTCAGAGAGCCCTTCCGCGTGCCGCGCCGGGCCCGCCCCCCGGGGGGCATCTCCGTGCGCGTGCCTCCTCAACCTCCTCCTCCCCCTCGTCCTCCTCCTCCTCCTCCTCCTCCTCCTCCTCCTCTTCCTTCTCCTCCTCCTCCTCCTCCTCCTCCTCCTCCTCCTCCTCCTCCTCTTCCATTCTCCCCCTCCGTCCTCATTCTCCTCCTCCTCCTCCTCCTCCCTCCTCCTCCTCCTCCTCCATCCTCCTCGCTCCTCCTCCTCCTCCTCCTCCTCCTCCTCCTCCTCCTCCTCCCTCTCCTCCTCCTCCTCCTCCTCCTCCTCCTCCTCCTGGTCCTCCTCCTCCTCCTCCTCCTCCTCCTCGTCGTCCTGCTCCATTCTCCTCCTCCTACTGACTCCTCCTCCTTCTCCTCCTCCTCCTCCTCCCCTCTGCCGCTGCCGCTCCCGGCCCTCCTGCCAGAGGAGCGTCAGAGGGAAGACGAAGCCAGGACGAGGACAACATCGGGCGAGGATACCGCGAGGATCCCCGAGGCGCTGGCCGTCTGGGACGGCTCGGCGAGCGCCGCGGCCCTCTCGCAGCGACCCCGAACGCTCCGAGAGCCTTCCGGGACGCTCCGGAGGGGACGCATCCTCGTCCCAGCCCCGGCCGAGGAGGGCACCGGGCGGGGGGGGCCAACGCCTGACGCGCCCCACGGACATCCGGATGCCGATCATCATGCTGAGGACCATGTTCCAGTTCTCGTGCCCGAAGTGCACCGCCAGGCCTTCGCGGCGCGCGGGCCGCTGCAGCGTGCGGCGCACGGGCGCGGACGCGTGGCCGCACGACTCGCAGGCAGGCTTGCACGCACACGCGGGTATATCATTTGTTGCGCGGTCTGTCGCCGCCGAAAATCGAACGTAGAAGTCTCCCGGCATGCTCTAGGAGCCACTTGCCGTTGGGAAGTTCTCTGATGGTGACAGGAGGCGCGGCGCCACTGTGTCAGGAGGCGTCGTGCTCATTGCGCCGACTCACTCCCCACAACGTCGAGCACTAGTGGTGTAGTTGACCGAGGAGGGGGTGTGGGAGCCTGCCCATGAAGGCTTTCTTGCCTGAGGCACAGCCAGTGGCCTCTGGGGAGTCGGCTTCACCTTGTACTGCAAAGACCCATGCTCACGTCACTTACCGCGGCAGTGGGAGACTGGAACGACCCTTTCGCTCGAACGCTCCCGGTGGTGGAAGTCCTTGCCGACGACTGCGCTGCTCATCCTGCAGGCTGCAGGCCTCCGTGCACTTTCCCATGGGCTCTGGCCTGTTGAGCTCTTGACGACCGTGTTGGGTGAGGAGAATTTGGGACCCCTGGGCTTTCTTCATTACGTGTCTTTTCTCTCGCGAGCGTGCCACCTCGGGCCCAGTCGACCCTTTGCGGGCCCCCCCCCCCCGAACCCCGCGGAAGGGCCCCTGCTGACACCAGGGACCAGAAGCTGCGACGGAGATCTCCAGGACCCCCTGCCTTCTGGGGGCCCGCCCTCCTCGACGACGCAGGCTGCGGGGCGGCGGCGCCTTTCTTCGGGCCGAGCAGCCGGTGTCTGCGCGGCACCTTCCTGAGGCGGCGGATGGCCAGGATGAGGGGAGGAATGGCGGCGGCGGCGCTCTGCCGCGCAACGTCGGCGTCGTCACCGTCGCCGTCGTCGTGATCGTGGCCGTGATCGTCCTCGTTCGGGCGGGTGGTAATGTGGGGGGTGGACGTATGGGGGGGATGAAGAAGAGGGGCCCTGGAGCGGCCCTCTACTCTTGGAGCCAGCCGGGGGCCCAAAGGGCCCCTCTTGAGGGCCCCTTTCCTCTTGAGGGCCCCCTCTTGGAGCCGACAGGGGCCCCTCTTGGAGCCCCAAAGGGCCCCCCTTGAGGGCCCCCATTCTTCCTTAGGACCCCTCTTGGAGCCAGCAGGGGCCCCAGAGGGCCCCCAAGTCCCCGGTAGGGCCTCCCTCTTCCCCCCCCCCCCCTCCACCACGCATGCCCACTCGGGGACCGAGCACTCCCTATAAGGACTTCCTCCACACGGACGGAACGTCCTCCGACATCCGCCGCACGGTGGCGACCGGGCCCCCGGGAAGCAGGTGGAGGTCGAGCTCCGCGGCGGGACCCACGCGCTCGCCGCCTTCCCCTCCCCTCCTCGCCCCTGCCCCTCCCCCACCGCGGCGGCGTGTCACACGCCAGACCACGTGACTTCGATCTGCGAGCTGCGAGCCAACATCGCCGACTCTTTCTCGTCCGCCCGTCGCTCCATCCCCTCTGCCAGCGTCCGCCGCCCACTGCCGACTCCTCCTGCATGGGCTGCGAATGTGGCCTCGTGGAATGCGCCATTCACAGGGTGCGCCACCCATGGGTTCTGCCATCCGTGGGTTGCGCCAGTGGTTGCCCCATCCATGTCCTATAGGGATGCGCCATCGGTGGCGCCATGGGTTTCGCCGTCCATGGGTTGCGCACGAGATTGCGCCGCAGGCAGTGCCCTCGGCTGCCGCACACAGGACGGCCTGCTATTGGTTGCCCCATGGATCCCGCCGTCGGCTGCCGACCATCAAAAAGCGGTGTGCTATCCGCTACGCTAGGGGTTGTACCCTCGGCTCGAGCAGGGACCGACCGTCCCGGCATTCCTATAGGCCTGCCACGAAATCCGCCGACCCTGTCGGCGTGTGCGAGGGGCTTGGCTGTTCGAGTCGTCGTCTCCGTCGGTCGTCGCCTCCGTCGTCCCCTTTCCCTGCAGCTTCCTTCTCAAGCTCGTGAGCGAGAGAAAAATCGAGCAGTGTCGTAATCGAGTCGAAGGAGCCCCTTCCCTTTGATCCCTTCCCCAGGGGGGAGGGGGGGGGGTCCCAGGGGAGGTGGAGGGGGGGGTCCCGGGGGGGGTCCCGGGGGGGTGGGGGCGCAGATTCGTTTTTCCTCGGGCGGCCTAGAAACCTCGAAAACACTCCAAATGAGGTCCGAATGCCCCAGATGGCCCCCGAGACGGCCCAAGAGGGCCCCGAGTCGCCCAAAGATCGGCCGAAAACGTCCAAGATAGCCCCAGCACCGTCCAAGAAGCCTCCAAGACGTCCCAGGCCCCCTCCAAGAGACCCCCAGGAAGCCCCAAGAGGCGCCCACGAGGCTTCCAAGCGGCCCCTAAGAGCTTCCCAAGAGGCCCACAAACTACCCCCAAGAGGCCCCCAAGAGCGCTCGTCGTCGTCGTCGTCGTCGTCGTCGTCGTCGTCGTCGTCGTCGTCGTCGTCGTCGTCGTCGTCGTCGTCGCCATTCAGGGTCGGCGGCACCGGCCGTAAGGCCTTCGCTATCTTCCTAGAACCCAACAATTTTCTAGGAACAAAAACAATGCTCTTAGAACATGAACCCGATGTGTTAAAACAAGCCAGTCCCAGCCAGAAATGCTCCAGGAACACTTCGTGGACATCGCCCCAAAAAAAAGTCTTAGAACATTGTTTGGTAGGCCTATAGGCAAGCAAAGACGCTTCGGCACTTCTTGACTCGGCACCTGAGAATCCGCGGACCCTGTCGGCATGCATGGCGGGGGATCCCGGGTTGGTCGTCCCAGCATGGCCCCTGGAGACGCTTCTCAACGCAAGGCACTTCCCACCATTTACTGCGGCAGATCGATCCATGTGGATCGAGTGCAAGTTGGTCTTTCCCCGGCGGGACGGTGGGTTCCTGGGGTGCTCCTGGGGTGGGCCCCGGGGAATGGTCCTCCGGGGGAAGCACCCCAGCACGCCTCCCCAGACATCCGGCTGCTCAAGTTTTCCCGCTGCGTGGGCCCCGGAGGTCCCGACCACTTCCCTGGGGCCGGTTGTTCGTCCTGAGTTGTTTTTTGACGCTCCCGAGGCCTGCCGAGGGCTCCCAGAGGCCGAAAACGGTCAAACACCAGCCGCCCCAATGTTTGTTGTGGAGCGTCGAATCTCTGGGTCCCCACCCTGGACGGGCTCGGCGATCTCGGGGCCACTTTGACTAACCTTTACAGTCCTTCCAGCAGAACCCGCTGGAGCCCTCCCGGGGCCGACCTCTGCCAACTTCAGAACTCGTGGGAGTTTTTCGAGGGCAGTCTTGGAAGCCCCAAGAGTCAGCCCAACAAGGCCCGAATTGGCTGAAATCTTGAAGTTCCTGCCTGATCTCAAAATTTTGGCACATTGGCCACAAGAGCGTCCAAGACGGCTCAAGGGGTGGCCCAATATAGCCCAAGAGGCTCCAAAGAGGCTGTCAACACTGACCGAAAGACGGACCCCAAAACGTGCCACCGTCGCACCGATGATGACCAACAACCCCACACAGAATCCGAAGACCCCTGAGAGTCCTATTGGAGGCCGTAAGAGAATCTAAGACGCACCGCAGCGGGCCACAGAGGTACACTAACCCCCTCCGAAAATTCACCCAAGAGCCCCCAGCATGTCCCCAAGGCCATTGGAACACGACCCAAGCGCAGTGGCGGGATGGGCCAGAGATCGTTCGATGTTCAGCCTCGGAGTGTCCAGAGAAAGAGGAGGAGGAGGAGGAGGAGGAGGAGGAGGAGGAGGAGGAGGAGGAGGAGGAGGAGAAGGAGGAGGAGAAGGAGGAGGAGGGGGGGGTCCCTTCCTCCCCCCTTTCCCATCCGCCTCTGGAGACCCAGTTTTTCACCTCTCAGGGCTGGCGGAGTCGGCCGTGAGGCCTTTGTAGTAAAACGATGTGCTACTTGATTGCGGTACTGGTTGCACCCTTGGCAGCCAGAGGGTAGGACGGCCTGCTGGTGGTAGTGGCGAGCCAACCCAATGAATCAGTCAGCCAAAGTACCCAACGAAATATCAAGTCGGGTTAGGGAAACAGTTCCAGAGACGGCTGCGAGCCACGGCAGTCGAAGCTGTCAGATCTGGCCACAGTGCGTGGCACTACGTTTTCAGCGTGCCGAGCCGCGCTCCGCAATTACCAATCGTGCGCGTTCCAGTCTGAGGGTTTGTCGTAGAAAAAAAAGGGGAGGAACAAACCAAACCATCACCCATCACATCTTCCCTCTTGCTCTGAAGGATCGGGGATCTGAGGGAACCGGATCCATGAGTTGTTCAAGACGTGGGACCCCCGAGGTCTGGACCCATTCTAGGGCAAACGCACTTCATCCTGATCCGTTGATTTACGGTCCTTGGGCTGGGCGAGGGCCCTGCAGAGGCAGAAAACAAAAAAATAAAACAAACGTCGCGCCGACACGCGAGGGGGTCCCTCCCGCCTCGCCCCTGGGGAAACCAACAGGTACCGATACCACTACTCCCCAGACCTCTCCTGGGGTGCGTTCTGACAGGAATTTCGAGGCGAATCCAACGGTGGCGACGAGGACCGCCCAGGAGGCCAACAAAAAGGGAAAACTATGGGAAGGTAGGGATATGGGTTCCTTTTCCTCCTCTGGTGCCTCCTCGCTCCTTCCCCCCGGTTCCTGTGTTGGCCTGGGCCCGACACCGTGCCCTCCTTCGACGGCGAGCCCATTGCCGGCTTTGCGGTGGCCGAGCCCAGCGGCCAGGAGTCCACGTTCGAGCTGCCCGTGTTCAGGCGGTGCACCTGGCCTGATGGGGGAGGGAGGAGGAGAAGAAGAAGAAGGAGTAGGATGAGGAGCAGGAGGAAGAGGAGGAGGAGGAGGAGGAGGAGGAGGCGGAGGAGGAGGAGGAGGAGGAGGAGGAGGAGGGGGAGTGGGGAGAGGAGGGAGGAGGATAGAAGGAAGGAGGAGGAGGAGAGGAGAGGAGGAGGGAGGAGGAGGAGAACGGAGGAGGAGAGGAGGAGGAGGAGGAGAGGAGGGGAGAAGGGAGGAGGAGCAGGAGGAGGAGGAGGAGGAGGAGGAGCGGGAGGAGAAGAAGGGAGGAGGAAGAGGAGGAGGAGGAGGTGGAGGAGGATACTGGGGAGGAGGAGGAGGAGGAAGAGGAGGAGGAGGTGGAGGAGGAGGTAGGGAGAAGGAGGTAGGGAGGAGGAGCAAAAGGGCGGAGGAGGAGGAGGAGGAGGAGGAGGAGGAGGAGTCAGACCAGTGGTGACCGAGTTCCCAGTCGTGAAAATGCAGTCTGCCTCTGAGGAGAAAGATTGCAAGATCTTGCTGACGCAGAACGTGTCGCTCAGTGTGCTCGTAGATTGCGTGGTGCAACTGGGGTTATCCCAGAAAGTGGGCACTGCTCCGATGAACCACTCCGACAGAGTGCTCCAGACCTCCCTGGAGGATGCCACTATGGAATGGACGCGTGCGGTCGTGAAGCGGAGTGTGATGACCAGGATCTGCCTGTAACGTGTTTGTTTGATGAGTCAGATCTGAGTTACGGGGCGATGTCTGAAGACACGAGGGTGCCGAGTGGGAACCAGAAAATCTCGTCCACGCCATGTGCACGGGGAAGTTCGATGACCGGGTCGAGGGCTACGCGCCCCAGAGGATGCATGACGGAGCCTCCGACACCTTCGAGACAGGCTGCGGGGACCGGTGCCTGCAGGGCGGCGACCCCGAGGCTTGACCCCGCGGCCGCCACCTCTGCGAGCCAGGCTGGAGGTACCTCTCCTCCTCCCTCTCCTCCTCCTTCCAAGGCGTGCCTCCTCCCTCTCGTCCTCCCTCTCGTCATCCTCCTCCCTCTCGTCCTCCTCCCTCTCGTCCGAGGCTAGACCCCGCTGCCGCCACCTCTGCGAGCCAGGCCGGAGGTGCCTCTCCTCCTCCCTCGTCCTCTTCTGAGCCTCGTCCTCCGCCCTCTCGCCCTCCTCCTTCCAAGGCGTGCCCGGCTGGAGCGCCAGAGCGTCCGAGCACTGCGTGGCAGTGGGTCGGGGGACGCGGTGGCCAGCGCTGCCGCCCGCCTGCTCGGCTGCCACGGCCAGCGTGGGCACGTGCTGTCGGGGGCCACGGAGACCTGTGCACGGTGCGCAGGCTGGGGCCTCCACTTCGCGGCCGGCAGGTCGGTCCCAGGGCGCCTCGTGGCTGCCGAAGTGGGCATCGGCCCCGACAGGCGTCTGATCTGATCCTCCTCCTCCTCCTCCTCCTCCTCCCTATGCAGAACTTCTCCCTTTCGCGACCCGAAAGCAGTCTTGGACGGGCCGGGCGTTTCGCTTGAGACTTGCTTACCACTCATGACTCTGAATCTGAGAGAAGGCAACAGTTTCACAATGGAGGGCGGGTGGTTTTCAACATGTGGCTCTCGCCTTAGCGCTGCGCACATTGGCTTTGAAAAATTGCAAGAGCTTCACGGATTGAGGGCGGGTGGTTTTCAAAATGTGGCTCTCGCATAAGCGCCACGCACATTCGTTTCGAACTTAGCAAGAGTTTCACGGTTTGAGGGCGGCTCCTTTTCAAAACGTGGCTCTCGCGTTAGCGCCGCGCACATTCGTTTCAAATGCTTACAAAAGTTTCACGGACTCCCATGATAAAGAAAAACAGGAATGACGTTTTGGAAGGATTCAGGTTTATGCGGGCGCAACAAGTATGTGGATTCGCGGTCTTGCAATCCCAAAAATGGTGTTCTGTCACAATTCCGGATCGTCACGACGCAGCAGTCAGGTTGATCCGTGGCGTTGAACTCCCGAGAACAATGTTTTGGCATGCTTCCGGGTCTTCAAACGGTTGTCTTCCAACGAGGCAGTTCCCTCAATGGAAGTGAACCGCTGTAAGGGGCCTATGGGAAAAGAAGCTTGGAGCGAGGGTCAACACATGGCTGGTGACTCTTAGGTTTACACTGGTCCTCCTCCTCCTCCATCTCCATCTCCTCCTCCTCCTCCTCCCTCTCCTCCTCCTCCTCCTCCTCCTCCTCCTCCTCCTCCTCCTCCTCCTCCTCCTTCCCCGCCACCTCGTCCTCCTCCAAGCATTCCTCCCCAGCCCCCGCGAAAGAGGGAGGGCGGAGGCGGCGCCTGACTCCTGGCGGCTGACGGGGTTCTCGGTGGCGCTCCCGCGGCGGAAGGGGCCGGCGGAGGGGCCGCGGGAGAAGCTGTGCTCCTGCCATTTTGGGCATCGCCCGAGGGGGGAGGGGGGGAGGGAGGTGGGGGAGGGGGAGGGAGGGACGATGTTGGAGGGGGTGGGGGTGGGGGAGGGAGGGGTGGGGAGGGGGTGGGGGAGGGGGTGGGGGGAGGGTGGTGGGGAGGGGTGGGGGAGGGGGGGAGGGAGGGGGTGGGGGAGGGAAGTGAGGGAAGGTAGGGGGGGGGAGGGGAGGGGGGAGGAGAGAAAGACTGTTTGTCCACCAAGAAAAATGCCGCGCCGGAGCTACACACAAAGACCTCTCTATGGGGTGCGCTCGAATGCACAATTCGCAGCGAATCCAGCCGTGGCGGCAGGGGGACGGGAAGCGAGCTGGCTTTTGCTTGGCAGCATCATGCCCACAAGGTGCGGCCAGGACTCCACGAATGTCCAAGACCGGGGAGCGCCCCAGCCCTGCAGCCCCGCATCGTGCACCGCAGGGGCTCTCCTGGCCGACTGCGGATGCCCCACGGAGTTGAGGGGCTACTTCGCGCTGGGATCTGCGCGGTGTCAAACAACTCATGCGGCCTGGCTGTGGTCTCTTCGTCTAAGGGGGCGGCTCGGGCTACGTTCAGGTCGGGCATGTCACCCTACAGGCGGATTTTGGACGAAGAACTATCAATATTCTGATACTCTAGAAATATTCAAACATAACTACTCCAACAATCGTCCCTGGACTATCATTTTGTTTATGTTTGAATATTCCTCCTGTAAGGGACAGGCCCAACTTAAGGCTACATGGCACACCGTCCCTGCCTGCACCGACCTACCCCGCGCAGTCGTCCGCGGGCAGGGCGGCACCCGCCTTCGCTCCTGCACCTGCCCTGAGCCAGGCTCCCCCGCTCCAACCCCCTGTTCTCTGGGCCAGACGGCGGAAGGTGGTCGGCACAGGGGGAACCTTGGGAGACCACAGGGCACCGATACCGCTACATCCCCGGACCTCTCCTGGGGTGCGTTCTGGCCAGGACTTTGAGGCGAATCCAGCGGTGGCGGCGACGGAGGCCCAGGAGGCCCAACAAAGGGGAACACGGGCAAGGGGGTTGAGGTATGGGTACCATTTCCTCCTCTGGAAACCAGAGTGAACCCAGAAAACGATGCTGCAATACGCCCTCGCGTCCAAAGTTATCTTCTCAAGACCAGCTAGCCTACAATGCGGGCGCGGCCGCAAGAACCCCTCGAAAGAAACCCAACCCTGAGACCCCATGCGCGAGGTGCACCTGAGGGGAAACCTGGAGCACCCTGAACGCAGCAGCTCCTTCAACGGCTGCGGAAAGCCACCGCGCAGCGCGATGAGCGAAAAGCATATGGTTTCTTGATGCGCGCCCCCACTGTACACGTCGTTCATTTTTCATCATGCTCATTTCTAATATTGCTCGTTTCTGATCGATCCTGGGCCCCTAGTGGCCAGGAAGAGGCCCAGGATAGAACAGTTAGAAATGGAAGAATATTGGCCCCCCAGAGTAACTAGAAATGAGCAATGTGTGTGGTTTCTTGATGCGCGCCCCCCCTGTACGTACAAGCCCTCCCTTCCACCACGGGGAGCGCCCCCTCAAGGAAACACGGACGCCCAGTGGTCCTGCCGCTGAGCAGAGCGCCCCTGCTTCTGGGCAGAGCGCCCCCCGTCTGGATGATGGATGGCACTGCGTCTCTCTCAATGCGAACACGAAGACCACGAAAATCCGATGTCAGAGAGAGCGTGATCCACCGCCGCTTTACTGTAGGCAATTCCCCCCCCTCTTCCTCCAGAACCCGGGGTCCCCCCCCCCCTTCGAAAATCCCCCCTCCCCCCTGCTGGACCCCCCCCCCCTTCCTGCCCCCCGGCAACCCGCCCTCTGCGGACAACCGGGGAAAACCAGGGGGGCGTCACTACCGGTTCGAATCTCCCCTCCCCTCACTCACCGCCAGCAAACGACTCCTGGGTACCCACGTGCACCGTCCGCACACAATTCCCCACTGCTGTCCCCAGCATTACTGTCCCCACTACTGCTGTCCCTATTGTTCCCACCAACGTCCCCACTGTCCCCACCAGCGCCTCCACCACTGTCGCACTGTCCCCACTGTCCCCACCACTGTTCCCACCACGGTCCCACTCTCCCCACTTTCCCCACGGTCCCCACCACTGTCCAACTGTCCCTACTGTCCCACTGTCCCCGCAGCTGTCCCACTGAGCTGTCCCACTGTTCCCACCACTGTCCCCACCACTGTCCCCACTGTACCTCTGTCCTACTGTCCCACCACTGTCCCACTGTCCCCACCGCTACTCCCTGGATCTCTTCGGGAGCGCGTTCTGACAAGGATTTCGAGGCGAATCCAGTGGTGGCGACGAGGGACCCCCCAGAAGGCTCGAAAAAGGGAAAACGAGAAAAGGGTAGCGGTATCGGTGCCCATTCCTCCTCTGATGCTTGCGCTTCCTTTCGGGGGGCGGCGCGGAGGTGTCCTCCGACGTCGAGGTCCTCCAGAGCCTGGCGGCAGGTGCCGGGCGCGCCTCGGGCGTCGGTGCGCGGGCGGCGGCACCGGCAGGCCTCGGGGGGCGATGTGCGCAGGTGCTGCTCCTCCTGCAGCTCCTCCTGCAGCTCCTCCTCCTCCTCCTCCTCCTCCTCCTCCTCCTCCTCCTCCTCCTCCTCCTCCTCCTCCTCCTCCTCCTCCTCCTCCTCCTCCTCCTCCTCCTCCTCCTCCTCCTCCTCCTCCTCCTCCTCCTCCTCCTCCTCCTCCTCCTCCTCCTCCTCCTCCTCCTCCTCTTCCTCGGCCTCCTGCTCCTCCTGCCTTATCCGAAATCTCCTCTTGTTCTTCCTTCCCCCTCTCCACCCTCCTCCTCCTTCCTCTTATCCTCCTCTTCCTCCTCCTCCTTCTCCTCCTCGCCCTGCGCGCGTTGGGTGTAAACTTCCAACCACGAACTCCCCGCCGCCCAACATCGGTTTGCTTTCCCGGCCCGCCCCCGCTCCGCGCCGTGCTCTTTCTGGTGCGCCTGCGGGCGATCCTCGGGGAAGGCGGGGGCTTGGGTCCTTGGGGCTCCCTCCCCCTCTCTACAGGTGGTCGTCTACCGCTGCGCGCGATGTTCTCCCTGGCAGCGTCCCATCCTCCTCCTCCTCCTCCTCCTCCTCCTCCTCCTCCTCCGCCTCCGCCTCCTCATCCTCCTCCTCCTCCTCCTCCTGCTGAGGAGGATCTCCTCCTCCTGCTCCTCGCACGCTCCCTCTGTCTGCCCTTCCTCCCCGTCGCCCTCCTCCCTCCTCCCCCTCCCTGCGCGCGCGAGCTCCTCCGTGTGGGGGGGGGGGGGCGCGGGCTCGAGGGTCTGCCCGCGGCCCCGTGGCATGGTGAAAGGGTCGCGACGGAACGGCGCTTGGCAGTCGTCGGCCTCTTTGGGGGCCCTCGCCAGGGCCCCAGGGCCGTGGATGGATTCGGCACCCCCTGGGGGTGCCCGCGCTGAGACAGAGCACGCCGTCGGAGGTCCAGGAAGCATCGAGGGCCTCACCCAGCGACATGGCGCCGCCTGCACGACGACACCGACGATCTTGATTCCCCTCCCCTCGCCTACAGTTTTGGATGGCTCGCACGCATGCCTAACCACACACCACACCATCGGGACGCTGCGGCCTCGCTCACATGGTCTCAGGTATGCGCGGACACATGTCCGCAGTGGTGGTCGTTCGTTCGTTCGTTCTGCCTGGTCCTCGTCACCGTTCGGCGGTGCTAGTGTTGTTGCTCTGTGGTGGTCTATGCTGGTGGTGGGTCTATTGTTGGCGGTTGGTTTGGTGAGTGCTGCTAGCGCTGCCAATCAGCGCTGGTGGCCTGTGCTGGGCGGTGTTGGTGTTGGCGCAGGACGATGGGGAAAACGCGGAGGAAAGTAAGGGCGATGAGGAGAAAGATGATGATGATTAGCTGGAGGAGGAGGAGGAGGAGGAAGAGGAGGAGGAAGAGGAGGAGGAGGAGGAAGAGGAGGAGGAAGAGGAGGAGGAGGAAGAGGAGGAGGAAGAGGAGGAGGAGGGGCACAAATGCAGCGGAGGAAAGGCGGCAAGCATCGGCCACCCAGCGTAGGCCGCGCGTGATTCCTCTCTTGGGCGAGGAGGATCGCGGATCGATGGTCAGGGACAGGGGTTTCTAACTTTAGGCGTCGCTTGATGGGGGGGGGCGATGCATGGGGGGGGGGAAGCAAGGTGCACTTTTCGGACCATGAAGGCCCCTCTTGGGCCCCAAAGGGCTCCTGTTCTAGAGGCCCTGAATGGCCCATTCCCGTCAGCCCTCGCTGCCCCCCAATCTATCTAGAACAAACCGCCATAAACATAAACCTTTGGCGCCCCGCTCGGATTTCTTGGATCTGCGGCGAGCGGAGCGCACCAGGGGCGGCCCCGGAGGCGCCGCCGGGCGGTCCCAAGCGCCCACCGAAGGAATCCGAGCGGGGCGCCAAACGTTGCTGTTTATGGCGTTTTTCTTTTTCGACCCTCAATAGATATCAACTTCCATCACGCTAGGGGTCCCCCCGTAAAAGTGCCCCCTCCTCCTCCTCCTCCTCCTCCTCCTCCTCCTCCTCCTCCTCCTCCTACTACTCATCCTCCTACTCCTCCTCCTCCTCCTCCTCCTCCTCCTCATCATCATCATCATCATCCTCCGCCTCCTCCTCCTCCTCGCGCCCCTCCTCTTCTTCCTCCTCATCTTCTCCTCCTCCTCCTCCTTCTCCTCCTCCTCATCCTCCTCCATCTCCCCCGATGAACTCGCGGAGCCGTCCGGCATTCCCCTGGGCGCTCTCGCCGCCACGGCCACGGCCGACTTCTCCGAAAGAAAAATAACCCTGTCAGAACGAGCCCCTGTAGAGATCGCGGGACTTTGGCCAAAGGAGCGTTCGATCGATCGAGGATCGAAGATCGAGGGTCGAGGATCAAGATTTGTGCACGGACAACCCGTATGATATAATATGGAAGGCCAGCGGGCGAAGCGCGGCCAGCGAAAGCGGCGAAGGATGGGCCGAAAGGGAAGGATGCACGGGTAACCTTGGAAAATTGCTCATCATCACTACGCGGGTTGGAAGTATGCTTTGGGTAACTTCCGGGCCTCTGGAAAGCCACCTCACCAGAGAAGCCAGCCAACTCCAGACAGGCATGCGTGGTGGCTCACGGTCCGCCCCTGCCCCTGGCCTTCCCCCGTGTGCTCTGCAGGTATTGGGGGGTCCTCCTCCTCATCCTCCTTTTCCTCCTTTTCCTCCTCCTCCTCCTCCTCCTCCTCCTCCTCCTCCTCCTCCTCCTCCTCCTGCCTCCTCCGAAACCTCCTCTTCTTCCTCGTTCTCCTCCGCCTCCTCCTGTTCCTTCTCCTCCTCCTCCTGCTCCTCCTGGAGAAGGAGGAGGAGGAGGAGGAGGACGACGACGAGCAGGCAGATGATAAGGAGGAGGAGGAGGAGGAGGAGGAGGAGGAGGAGGAGGAGGAGGAGGAGCAGTCGATATGCATCAGTGTCCCTGTCCAGCTAAGTAAAGCGGGCTGCACGTGGACACCGCAGAACCTGGACTGCCCAGGGGGCCTTTGAAACTAATGGGAACGCCTGGCCAAGTGCCGCTGCCAGTGCGCGCACAGCGCTGGCAGTGACACCATGGCGCGGGGGTAGCTCAAAACTTGTTGCGAGATTCTTCCCGCAACCTAATGCGCCTGTGCAATGCCTCAAGCCGTTCTTCCCAGGGCTTTGTGCTCAAGGAACGGGGGGAGGACAAGGAGGGAACCGAGGACGAACGAGGAGGGGACAAGGAGGAGGGGATTAAAGCCTGGTCTAAGGTACTTGCTGCTCTTCTGGAAGCAATTCTACTATTACTATTCATGTGTTGCTGCTGCATCTGCTACGGCTCACTGTCAGTGTTTCTGCTCTGCCTGCTGCCGCTCACTCCGCTCACTTCCTCTTATCCAGCGAGTGCGCTAAACCCCCGATCGGGTCATTGCCTGGCTCATTCCTTCTGAAGCCCCATGGCCCTGGGAAGCACAACAAGGCGAGTGGTGCCGACTAGCGCGAGCTCGAGGGGATGATACTTGTGCTGCTCGACCTCTGGCTCCTGCTCCACGAATACTGCTACTGGCCACTGCCCCTCGACCTGGCATGACAGGCGAACTGTGGGGGCGTTGCCTGTCTTGGGCATGCCATCGCACGTGGCGCACTAGTTCTCGAAATCTGCGGGGCTGCGCTCCTGCATCGAAGCGTCCTGGCTCTTGCTGGCGGCGAATATGCATTGTATCAATTTGTTCGTTCTGTTCATCGACATGTTGGCCAGGCTGGTCATCGGCGATTCCGCGGCGCACAGGCGTGGAGATCCGAGCTCGTGCCCTTCGCCCTCGGCCTTGACAAGCCCCATCGTACGTTGTGGTGGCCTCCTGCATGCCCAAAAGAACAGGGTGGCCCGATGGGCCTTTGAAGACCGGCGTCTCTCTCTTTCTCTCTTTCTCTCTTTCTCTCTCTCTCTCTCTCTCTCTCTCTCCCTCTCTCCCTCGTGAGAGCTTCAAATATTGCAGTAGATCTCCCTGGCTGCCCCCTGCTTTGCCAGATCCCTTGGCCTTCTTGGGGCTCTGGGTTCTGTCCTCCTCGATCTGATGAGCTGGTGCCAACCGCTGCAACATCTATCGTAACAGCATGATTCTCAACGTTTGGCAAACTATGCGCGTTTGCCAGATGGTCTTCCAGCAGCTCCGGTGTCCGAGCAATGAAACGGCATAGCAGACATGCAACTACGTTGTGCTCTATTCTGCGTGGGGTACGAACTGAACAATATATAACACACCTGCGATGGAACGTGGCTGCTGCTAACTGCCACGGCCCCGCTACTCTGTCTGCAGACGCACTGTGACATAAATGCAAGAATTAGAGATGGTCGCAACGAACGGAATCCTGTTCGTGGCGCACACTCTCTGCAGGATGGCTTCTGTGTCATCTTTGTCTCCCGCGCACGCTCGCGCGCGACGTGACAACCTGCTCTTCCTATCTGGAAACGTTTCTTCACGCGCGCTGGGCGCGCCGTGTTGAGCTGAGGTCGGGGCTCAACTAAAGGTGGTGCGAACGCCCCCCCCCCCCCCCCCCCCCCAACGAACCCAGCGCCAGGGCCCCACGGGGGCGCAACCGACCTCGGCAACTCCCGCCACCTCAGCTCAGCAAGATCGATCTGTGCACAAAATATTGCGGCTTTCTTCCGAAATCAATATTACGCAGGACTCTTCCAAACAACTGCGCAGCTTCGACCCCTTCGAGGGATCCTGGAGTGGTGCAACATCTTGCCAACACTGTTTAAGCCATGCGCTGGCTGCCGCGAGCAATCAACCTTGCGCGTCCATCTCTAGCTTTGATTCCTCACACCCACAGCACCCTCCTAATGATGCAATGGCCTGCGCATGGTCACGCTGGTCTCTTATCATTTCCTGGAGCCACTTTAGCCTCCTGGCGCGCAGCTATGTGAACAAGGTGCCCATCATGAGGTGCTTCTGCACCTCCAGATTCGAGGGTGCACGGATTATTTCCTGCTGGCGCTCCGTGCATTTGCCTCTGACGCCCGCTCGGGCAAACTTGTCCAAAACTTGTTGGAAGGGGAGCATGAGGCTGCACCGTGAGGGGCTGCACATGTTCAGCACGAGGGCCTCTAGTCCCGAGAGCGCCGCATTCACGATGACCCCGCGCAGACGATACTTTTGAACCTCATGGAGATCTTGGGAGTGGACCAGAACTTGCCCTTCTTGTGCCAGGCCGCCTTGAGGGCCTGCATCCAAAACTTCTTCTCAGCCGAGAACCGCCGTTGAACTGTTGACGGCCTCCAAGATACCTGGCCCCCGAAAGAACCGAGCTTTGCATGGGGGGCCTCGTTCTCCTGGAACTTCCAGTTGCGGGCCCCCGCAGACCTCCCAGCCCCCTGGGCCACATTCATTTGTTCTTGTTATGTTTTGGGCCCCTTCCTATGTCTCTCAGGATTTGGTCGACAACGCTGTTTTCCCACATAGCAACTGCAACCAGGTGCTCGGGACTCCCCCCCGCCAGCTTGCGCGCGACGTCGTCCACGAACGCGAAGGTGGCGAGGTCGATCACGCTGTCGTCGTGCTCTGCCCTCAATGGTACTGGCTGGACTGCGCGTAGCGCTCTCTGCCAGGAATCCTCGTTCACGGCGTTGATCATCTGTTGCGCCTCCGTCCAATGCGCTGACGCGAAGAGCTTCGTAGCCGCATGGTCGCCAGGTAGTACTCCCCTCTGGTTCGCCATATGTCCACTGTGCACACCATCTCCAATCGTGAAGGTGCTGCTCTGAATACGCTGGTAGAACATGTCCGCTCGAAAATCGATTGCTAGCTCGCCAGCAGAGTCTTCAGCAACCGATGTGTGTACACACTAAACGGAATTACTGGCGCCATGCAATCGAGTGATGTAGTGTAGTCCTGCTCTGCGCAACCTGGCTGATCCACGCATCTGCACCAAAGTAGCATCTCCCCTACGTCTACGAGGACTGCCACCATGTGCCCAGTATGGAAATCTGACTCTCTGGTTCATCAATGGTCTGAAGCAGGATCTACCCAACCCCTGACAAACCCCGCCAATACTCCTCATGCTCCGTCATGCTGTGGAGGCTGCACTCTATCTGGAGCGTCTCGACGTTGCCCCTCATGTCGCCGATGTCCCTGGTGCCTCACCCCAGCCACAGCCGCCACGGTTGCCGCAACATTTGTGGGCGCGCCCCTTGGGGCAGGGCCGTCATTATAGGCAGCATCCACCAACCTGCCCACAGATGCCGGGGCCATGACTTGTGCTTCTGGTGAAGTCACAATTCTTGGCTCGGCCCTTCCTCCAATGATTCCCGCCCCCTGAATGCTAAAGGCGTTGGGTCTCGACCTTCGCAGGGTCGGGCCAGGCCCCCGCTGTCGTCGTGGTTCACGATGTTCTGGGTGTTGTCTGCATTGCCGATGCCTCTCCGCCGCGGTGTCCTGTAGTACCAATGTGGCTCTGCCAGGAGTCTGGTGAGATCTCCTGCAACACTCCCGAGTGGTTGGGCTCTCCACGACGGTAGTTTCTTGATTGGTTTCCGAAATTACTGAGTCTGGCGATATGAAGGTTGAGGTCTTCGGTACTGGCCTCTGTCTCTTTCGCATCCCTCCTACTTTCTAATACCTTCGCAAATTCCTTGCTGGTACTGAAATTCTTTGTCCGGTTATCACCTGAATCTGGCACGCTGGTCAACATGGTGGCGGCGATCCTCTGAATGCACTGCATGAGCACTGCATTGATCATGCCAACATTGCCCTCATATTCCCAATGCTCGAACTCATTCATGTGTTGGCTCAACGATCCCCCGACCCTGCAAATAAGCTCTTGTCCCTTGTCCATACAATAGCATCGCGTTGCAGGCCTCCCTGTTGATTCTCTCTTGTGTCGCCACCGCATGAATGTGCCCAAACGAATGACCAACAACGACCGAAAGAAGTAGTTGATCCTTTGGCGCCACGCATCGAATGTGTTGAAGCCTTTCTCGTTTCCCTCCACGACACCATGCACTGTTGTATGTTTTAAATCATAGGTATCGGCATGATGAAAGAAACCCGTCTTTTTTTCACACGATGAACAATTCCAAAGTATCTCATTCCAGCAGGAAAACCAAAGTATTACACAGTGCCATCTAGTACGCCTTCAAACCAACTCTGACGATACCAACATTCACTCCATCTTTGTCGGCCTCGAAATTGCCCGTGATCCTCGGTTCCGTACTTTCATCTACACACGTGCTGTTGAGATCTGTCCTTATGATGGACGTGCATCTGGGCGGCCACTTGTTCGATTGTTCTCCTACCCATGCCGTGAGTTCCGGAGATACTGCTCTCTGATATGCTGCTGTTCCTTTTTCCCTCCCCTTTCGTCGGAACATATATCGAAAAAAGGATGCACAATCCGGGCGACCTCGTCTATATCGAATCATGGGTCCCCGTCCTTGTAATCTCCCGCAAGTCTCTAGCAAACTGGTGACATACATGGTCTTGTATCTCAGAGCATGAATACGGATGGATACACCACAGGCACCATTGGGGCTCGAACCATACCCTAAGTGAAACAAGAGGTGCTGGCCCGATGGAAAGCGAAAGACTTCTCCTCCTGTGGTCGCCTTCAGTCTTGTGCCCTGCAGCAAAATGATTTCGTGCTTCGCATATGCTGCACGGATGTATGCTAATCTTCCTGGCGGCTCGGCGGACCGCGGGCTGTAGGATATGGGGCGCAAGAGTCTCCCAACCGCTCTCAGTTCCTCGCCCATGCATAATCTCATCTGAACTAGAGAGAGAGAGAGAGAGAGAGAGAGAAAAAGAGAGAGAGAGAGATTGGGCAGGGAATGGTTGCAGTGTTGGGGTCTTCAGTCGCGCTGGTCTGCTGCTTGCGCCGTGGTGCAACTGAAGAGGAGGACGAGGAGGAGGAGGAGGAGGAGGAGGGGGAGGAGGAGGAGGAGGAGGAGGAGGAGGAGGAGGGGGCGCCAGCGTGCCGCTGAGCCTCTTCTGGCATGAGTGACTCGGATCCTGGTGGAGACGGGTCCGGGACCCCGTGAGGAGGCCGAGGACGAGTCGGCGCCGGTGCTGCACAACACCTTTGGACGGCCATCGGCTCACGGGGGGCGGATCCAGCGAGCCGCAAGCTCGCCGAGATGTATGCATATCCGCTGATGCGGAGACGCGCCCCGAGGATCTGGCGGAGCGACGGATGTCGATATGTCCCGCCCCCAGTGGGCGAGAAGGTACCCATGTGTGGCTCCGCGCGGAATCCTCTGGCGCACTGTCCCAGATCGGCGGCAGCGGCGATGCCAAACCCCAGAAGTGGAGAGAAGGAGTTCGATGCTCGTTCTGGGAAGTTCCTGGAGCCACTCGCTCCACTCCTGCGTCGCTGCCGCGTCGAACGTCAGTCGACTTGGATCGAACATGAGGGGTGCTTGAGTGAACCTGCGTCAAGCTAGAGTCGAACCAGAGTTGAGTTACACTCGAGCGAGAGTCGAACTGATGCCTTGGCTGGGCCCCAGGAAGAAGGCCCTCCCAACATATTCCCCCCCTGACGAAGCGCAGGACGCCCGCGGAGCGCAACCCTGAAGGGGCTCTGAGACACACAAATAAATACACACAAATAAAAAACATCCCCCATATTTTCCCATATTTTCTGTGTTGTCGTCGTCCACCCCATTGTCCATGTTTTCCATATTTTCTCGGGAATAAACGATTAATTGTGTCTGTGTGTTTTTCCCCTCCTGAAGCCCGCCCCACGAGCACTGCGCGTCTCCTGCCGGGGCGAGGCATCGTGGCACAGCGCACGTCAGAGGGGCATGGACGGACTGAGCGGTCCGGCACACTGGCCTGGCCATCTCGGGCGCCCCTGCCCCCAGAGCAGACGTCGTGGAAGCCCAGCGCCGCCGTGAACCCGCCGCGGCCAGAGCCGTCGACCCCGCCCTTCTCCTCCTCCTCCTCCTCCTCCTCCTCCTCCTCCTCCTCCTCCTCCTCCTCCTCCTCCTCCTCCTCCTCCTCCTCTATCTGTGAGGACCTCGGGCCCCGCGCTGTCCCCGACGCTTTTCGGGCTCCAGTTCCGGCCTCCGGCGTCCCTTCGGGACGATTGGAACGCCCCCAGGACGGGCACGGAGAGGCGCGGCTGCTGGAGAGCACCCCGAGGCTGGCAAACCGCCGAGGGACCGACGAGACCGTCCGAAAGCCTCGAGCCTGGAGCCTCTCGCGAGCTTGCTCGTCGAGTTTCTCGCGCGGCAAGGCAGCCACTCCGTGGCGGCCGGCGCGCCCAGAGCGAAGCGCAGACCTAGCGGGCTAAGCCGAGGGCACCGCGGAGTCGCCCAGCATGTTCTGCGCGCCAGCCGACCTGGCCGCCGCCAGCGGGGGCGCATCGCCAGAGCAAGCGCAAAGGGAGAAGCAGAGCCAAATGGGACGGCGGACATCAAGAACAGAGGACTGCAGGAACAGACTGCCGCCAGCCATCTGGGCGTGAGTGGTGTAGCGAGTTTCCTCCTCCATCTTCTCTGCCCCCCTTCGGGAAGGGAGTGGTGTATCACTGTTCCCTACTAATGTACACCCCCTACCCCATGCGACCGGCGGCCAACCAGGAACCATGCGCCCACCCCTACACCATCCCTGTCAAAAAATAAAATAAAATACGCACTCTGTCTCCAAATTCGGAGCATGCGCAACCAACCCGACGCGGGCCCCCCTCCCCATCCCTGTCAACAAAAAATACAAGGTGCACTGTGGGGCAAAGTTTGGATTCATGTTCGTAAGGCAGGCGAACACTTTGTACAGTTCTTTGGCAGGGACGGCGGGGGTGTCAGCATATTGCCTGCTACGCGCTGGGCCACCATCCCCGACAAAACACCATACAACATTCACCTCGCGGCAAAATCTGGATCCTGCGCGGCCACCCCGCGATCATTGCCAAGTGGTGTTTGACAGGGACCACGGGGGTGGTGTGGTGGCGTATGGCCTGCTTTTCGCAGGCCCACCAGACACAATGATGGGCATTGTTTTTCGACGAGCACGGCCGGGAACGACTTGTTTCAAGATATGTTCTGTCACGTGCGCAGGCGCACCTGACACATTCTGCACGTGCTCCGAAAGTGGCGCACCTGGCGCGGCTGGAATGTGCGGCACACCTGGCGCACGCGGAGGCACGTGGCGCATCTGGCGCACCAGGCGTGCCTGGCACGCTCGGGTCCCAGGGGTGCCTGGCGCGCGTAGCGCGCCTGGCACGCGTGGCGCACCTCGCCCAAACGTCTCGCACATGGGCTCGATGTTGGTTCTCAGTAGCTGCCCATCCATAGACGACCGCTGAACAGGCTAAGGCTCAGGTGTTACGTATGTGTTGGGAGGGCGGGTGGGAGTGAGCTAGACGGCTTGCTCTCTGGAGGGTGTCTTGACCCCTCCCCCTACCCCTTTCCTCCTGGGTCTCGACGGGGCCTTCCGCGAACGGTTGGAGCGTCCAAGGTGGCCTCGGCGCGGAAGCCAAACATCATGTCTTGTACTACGATGCTGGGGCCTCCTGCGGGGGGTCCTAAAGCGGTACGGCACGTCCTTTGGCGCCCCAAGACGGCCCCAAGAGGCGCCCAGGAGGCCCCAAGAGGCCCCCAAGAGGAAGATCACAAGAGCCCCCACGACACCCCAAGAGGCCCCGCAAAGGCAACCAAGACGCCCCAAGAGGCCTCGGCGAACGTTCATAACCGCTGTTTTTACACAGAGATTTTGGCCACAGTTAGCCTCCTGCGGGGGGGGGGGCCTAATTAAGGTGCCCCCCTCCTTTGATCGATCTCCTTCAAAATGAGGTTGCCCCAGGAGGAAACCAAGGGGTGCTTAGGAGGCCCTGAGAGGCCCCCAAGAGGCTCCAAACTGACTGACTCCTTAGAGCCCCCAAGTGGCCCCCCAGAGGGACCCAAGACGCCCCAAAAGGCCTCGGCGAGAAAGCCTCAACCATGGAGGGAACAAAGGTTGTGGCCATGGTTTAGCCTCCTGAGGAGCGGAACCCTAAGTAAGGAACCCCCCCCCCTCCGATCAATCTCCTCCAAGATGGCCCCCGCCGCTCCCAAGGGTGCCCGAAGACGGCCCCAGGAGGTGCCCAGGAGGTCCCAAGATTCCCCGAAGAGGCCCCCAGTGAACCCGCAAGAGGCTCCAAGAGGCCCCCCAGAGGCACCCACGAGGCCCCAAGAGGCCCCCGGGATTGCCAAGAGACCCCCAAGACGCCCCGACCCCAAAAAATCGTTGAAAGAAATCCGAAGAGACTCGGAGCGGTATCCAAGGGGCCTCTGGCCTTTCTGCTCGCCCTCCTTCGCCTCGTGCTCCTCCTCCTCCTCCTCTTCCTCATCCGTCTGTTCTTCCTCCTTCCTCGTCCCTCCTCCCCCTCCCCTTCTCCCTGCTCCTCCTCCTCCCCCCTCCTCCTCCTCCTCCTCCTCCTCCTCTTCCTCCTCCTCCTCCACCTACTCCTCCGCCTCCTCCTGCCCCTCCCTCCTCTCTCCTCGTCTCTACAAAGTCTCAGCATGAGCGGTCCGGCACACTGGCCTGGCCATCTCGGGCGCCCCTGCCCCCAGAGCAGACGTCGTGGAAGCCCAACGCGGCCGTGAACCCGCCGCGGCCAGAGCCGTCGACCCCGCCCTTCTCCTCCTCCTCCTCCTCCTCCTCCTCCTCCTCCTCCTCCTCCTCCTCCTCCTCCCCCCTCCTCCTCCTCCTCTTCCTCCTTCCTCCTCCTCTTCCTCCTCCTCCTCCTCCTCCTCCTCGTCCTTCTCCTAGTCCTCCTTCGCATTCTCCTCTGGCTCTTCCACCAATTCCTCCTCCTTCCCTCTTTTGGGGTACTACGTCTTACGCAACCTTTTCTTCAACTGCAGTTTCCTCCACATCCCTGATCAGGGCAACTTGCCAAGACATCGTGTCTAGTTGTGCTGAGCATCGAGTTCCAAGGTTGAATTCTTGACTGGGGTACTTACGAGAAAGAAGGTGGTACCATACCTTGGGCCCTGGCTGAAGTTGTGTGGCACGACCGCCCTACGCGCACTCCAGAATCTGTGCTCATGTCGCCTTGGGTAATCCTTACGCTCTCATCCCGACACGACAGGTAAGTGCAGTTAGATAAAAAAAAACAAGCCTCCCGACCCTCCCACAGTGCATACTGCGGCCGCCAGCTCCCAAGGTCCACAGAGAGTCCACGAGACTCCCGCCCCCCAAGACCCGACCCACCCATTCTGGATACTGCGGCCGCCAGATCTCCAGATCTCCAGACCCGACTCACCAACTCTGTATACCGCGGCCGCCAGATCCCAGGTCCACCGAGAGTTCCGGAGACCCCTGCCCCTGGGAGCATGACAGAACCAAACCAACAACTCATAACATGATGGACAAGAACAGGACATACCAGATCAACATAACCGAACATCACATAGCATAGCACAGCATAGCAAAACACCGCATCCCACACCAGGGCATGACGTAGCATACTAAAACATGCGATGGCTGATTCGGCCATGCAGAATGTAGCATACCACTGTCCAGCGTGATCGATCTGGGGGCATCACAATACATAATGCCACACCTGAGCAAATCATGACCTGCCACATGAAAAAAGGGCACAGCGTCAAATCACAGATCACAACATGGCATGAGAAAACATACTATGACACGGGGCGCAGCAGACCAGAGAGTAAGACAGCGTGTCATACCATACCACACCACATCATACCACACCACAGCTGGTTTACCGCATGCTTACATATCTCAACTTCAATCACATCATACCACCGCCAACATGGTAAACAACATAACGAGCCAAACTATAGTTTATTTTATATCAGTGCGAAATGTTGTACGATTGCTACCACGACGGCAACGACTACAATCGAATCCCCCAAACCATTCGATTCTGAAGGGGGCAAGCATGACATAAAACAACATAGCCTTCTACAATGAACAAAAATACGGAAACGAGTATCATATAATACAGTGTACCTACCCAGAAGTGGACCGGTATGACATGACCTGGGCAAAACTGAACAGAAATTCGCGTCGCACCATGAATCTCGGTGGCCAATGTGAATACGAGTGCCGGAAGCTGGTCTAACCTCGCTCGCATGCCACGGAAGGGCCCAAGGCCAGGCCCACGCAACGGGCAATCCGCAAACGAGACGACCTCCCGGCGCAGATCTGGCCCCGGGGGGCTCCGGGCGGGAGCTGGACATTACTGCAGAGCCGAGGAGGGAAAAAGTAGCGAGCAGGCGGCCAACCTCGCAGGACGAGCACGAGCAGCTGTGATTCCATCGACGCTCCTCGTCGCACGATCCTCCTCATTTTGTGGCCAGCAGAGATGTGCGCACGAGTGCCGCTGGCAGGCCTCTGAGCTCGCTCGCTTGCCGCAGGGAGGGTCCGGAGGTCGGGCCCGTGCAGCGTGCAACCTGCGCAGCGGGGACCGCCTCCCAGCCAGCAGAGGTCTGGTCGGAGGGCACAGGGTGTGGGGGCCTGAATTTTCGCTGCAGAGCCGAGAAGGGAACAAAAGTGGCGGCTTTCGGAAGCCCCGTGCCCAAAGACAGGTTCCTCTCCTGAGCGCGTTGGATCTACTTCCGCCGCCTTGCGCCGAGCTTCCGCCGGCGGAGGCGGCCTCCTTCTGCTTCCGCCCCGCCGACCATCCGCCGCCGTCCGCGACGGAAGAGATGACAACCTGTTCAATCCTCGAAGGCAAGGCCGTTATTGGAACGCGGCCAACATTTCAGGATGAGCACGAGAGGCTATGTATATCTGTATATATATATGTGCGTCAACCGACGCTTCTCGTCGCACGATCCTTCTCTTTGGCCAGCAGATGTGAAGGCGAGCGTCGAGAGCAGGCCCGGGCCCGCTTTGTGCGCAAGAGGAGGGCGGCCCGAGGTCGGGCCCCATGCACCGTGCAGCCCTGCAAACGAGAGATCGCCAGCAGAACAATCCCTCGGGAACAGGCTCCTCCTCCTCCTCCTCCTCCTCCTCCTCCTCCTCCTCCTCCTCCTCCTCCTCCTCCTCCTCGGTCGTCCGTCGGCCCGCGCAAACAGAACACCCCGGGGGCACCCGCCCCCCGGATGCACATGAGCATCCAACAGGCACGAAGGACACGGGGGCTGCCCTCCCCGAGGCGACCTCGATCTGATTGCCTCGGTCCGGCTGTCCCCCCCCCCCCCCTTCCCTGTCACCCCACCGTCGTCCGACCAGGCCCCGCTCTTCGCCCGTCGCAGTCCTTGCCCCTCGACCCAGGCATCCAGCGTGCCGACTTTCGAGCAGGGGATCGAGTACAGAATTGACTTACCCCCAAGTTGACTTTCCACCGAACATGCGGACATGTAGATGTATTTGTTCGTGGATTCAGCGTGGCAATTCATTTCGAGGTAAATCAACTCTGTAGTCGATCCCCTGCCCGAGACGTTCTAGTGGCATGGGCCCACGGACCTCCCAACCCCGGAACCTGATCGCCATCCCGGTACGTTTCATGGATTCTCTCGTGGCCCGAAACCAACCTCGAGAATTCTCGGGAAAGACACGCGAGATAACATTCTCAAACACGAAAAATGTCGGTGGCCTCTCCCTCAACGCCTCCGCGGACCTCTTCCGAGGTGCGCTCTGACCAGGACCTCGGAAAGGACCCAGCCATTGCCACAAGAGCGACTCGGGATGCCTACGAAGAGCCAGAAGGATGCAAAACATCTATGTTCGACCCTCGCTCCTCCTCCTCCTCATTCTCCTCCTGCTCCTCCTCCTCCTCCTCCTCCTCCTCCTCCCCCTCCTCCTCCTCCTCCACCTCCTCCTCCGCCTCCACCTGCCCCTCCCTCCTCTCTCCTCGTCTCTACAAAGTCTCAGCATGAGTACTACGCTGCTCCCTCCCCGGAACTCGGCCAGCGGAAGATCTCCCACCCCCAGTGGTGTCCGACCCTCGATCCTCCTCCCGAGAAACCCGCTGCCGTCGTACACGTCCATACCCCGAAGCCACGACCCTCCTTCCTGGGCAAGAACTGTCATGTGCCCGCTGTGGATCCTTCCCTGGCAAAGGGTCGTTCCCCCGGGCGAGGATCGCCGGTGCGCACCACGGCGCTTAGGGGGCGTCCGGGCCCCCCGTCCCCCAATGGGATCGTTAGCGTTACCGGGGGCCCCCCCTCCCCCAATATGCTTTTCAGTCGGGCGCGTCCCCCTACAGGGGGATTTTCGACGACAAATAAAAAACGAACGCCCAAAACATGATCCAAAATGGCAAAAAAATAATCAACAAGCGCTGCCGGCTTCCCCCTCCTCTCCTCCTCCTCCTCCTCCTCCTCCTCCTCCTCCTCCTCCTCCTCCTCCTCCTCCTCCTCCTCCTCCTCCTCCTCCTCCTCCTCCTCCTCCTCCTCCTCCTCCTCCTCCTCCTCCTCCTCCTCCTCCTCCTCCTCCTCCTCCTCCTCCTCCTCCCTCCTCCTCCTCCCCTCCTCCTCCTCCTCCTCCTCCTCCTCCTCCTCCTCCTCCTCCTCCTCCTCCTCCTCCTCCTCCTCCTCCTCCTCCTCCTCCTCCTCTCTCCTTTCTCCTCCTCTCTGCACTTCCTTCGCATGGGTACTGCGCTCCTCCCAACCCTGAACTCGCCCTGCGGGAGATCTCCCGCCCCCAGCCGTGTCTTGTTTTCAATCCCTCACAGGATTGGGCCGAAGTGTTTGTTCCTGTGTTTTTGCACTCCCACAGAGTTCGGTGTTTCAAACATGGTGCTCTCGGCGCTGGGCTCCCGTCGTTCAGATTGCTGCCGTACCAGCGTGGGCCACCTGTTCTGGATCCCACAAGTCCCAAATGTCCAACAGGTTTCGCACAGGTCCCACAGGGCCCACTGGTCCCACAGGGTTCCACAGGTCCAACAGGTTTCCCAGCGTGGGCCCCGCAGGTTCCACAGGTCCCACAGGGCCCACTGGTGTCACAGGTCGTTCCACAGGTGCCTTAGGTACTTCAGGCCTTACAGTACAGCTTTCACAGGTCCCACAGGTCCCGCAGGCGTCGCAGGTATCGCAGGTCCCACAATTCCCGCAGCTCCGACAGGTCCTGCGGGCCCCACAGGTCCAACAGATGTCGCAGGTCTCACAGGTCCCAAAAAGGTAAGATTCAGGTCACACGGGTTCCACAGGTTCCCTTGGTGCTACTCCCACAGATCTCAAAGGTCCCACAGGTCCCACACACACACACACACACACACCACAAATGTCTCACAGGTTCCAAGTCACACAGGTGTCGCAGGTCTCCCAGGCCACAGAGGTCCCCCTGGTCGCACAGGCCCCTCAAGTCTCGCAGGTCCCAGGGGTCCCATAGATCCACAGTTCCCTCCTGCCCCAAAGGTCCAGCATGTCCCACAGGCCACAGAAGTCTCACATGTGTCACAGGCCCTACAAATCGCACAAGCCCCACAACTTCCAACTGCCCCGGATCGGGTATGACCCGCGCCCACAGTTAAACAACGGCGCAGTGGGAAGGGATGGGAGGGATAGGGATAGGATGTGAGAAGTAGCACGAGCGCACCGAGCCTGCCTCTCTCCTCTCTCCTCTCCTGCTCCCGTCGCCCCGAGAGCCGACCATTCTTTGCTGGACCCGTCCCCGGAGCTCGCCCTCGAGAACCGCAGCCGGGCCCCCCTGGCGGGCGCGGCGCCGGGCGGCGGCACGACGGCTGCACTCGGCGGAGCGGACCCCCTGCGGAGCGGGAGCGCGGACGGTGAGGCCCTGGATGGCGCACAGACGGCTCCCGAGGCAGCCCCGGCTCGCCTCCGCAGGCCCCTGAATAGTTATGGCCCCCGCTGGCCTCCACGGGTCCACGGGCTCTCCGAGGGCTCCCCGAGAAACTAGCTCCCCGGGCGGCCTCCACACAGCTGGCGACGCCTCCGCCGGCACCCCTTTTAGGGGGGGGCTCCGCGCCCCAGGGCTCGGGCGCTCAGAGCGCCCAGGGCCCTGGTCTGCTCGGGGGGGCCCGCGGAGGCCAGCGGGGGCGGTGGAGGCCCGCCGGGGGGCCGTCTCTGCGCCGGCGGGAGCCCTCCCGAGCGCGGGGCTCCCAGAGCCGGGCGGCGCGGCCAACGGCGCGACGGCTGGCCTCTCTCTCTCTTTGTCTCTCGGCCTGCGGAGGCCGACTTTCCTTCCCTGGGGAGCGCCGACAGTGAAGGACTCCGCATGGAGGGCCTGCCCCGAGGAAGTAAGGACTCCCAACTTCGCGCTCCGCGCTGCGCAAAGCGCGAAGTGGGAATCACTTCGCGATCTCGCGCCGCCTCCCAGGGGAGAAGAGGAGGATGAGGAGGAATCGGAGCCGAACCGCGAAGCGCGAATAACTTCGCGCCCTCGAGGGCGCCCTTGAGGAAGAGGCCAACGCCACGGCCAAAAATGCAACCGTCGGAGGAGGGGGCCAGAGGAAGGGGCAGTGGAGCGGGAGCGCGAAATGACGGTGATCCGAGGAAAGGCAGGCAGCGGCTGCGTCCCCGTCGGAATTCTGGCCAGGGCGGACCGGTGGCAGGGTCGGGGGTTCGAGTCTCAAGGGGAGGACCAACACATCCGACGTCGTGACCTTCTGCATGCCCACGGTCTTCTCTCGAATTCTGGCTCCAGGGGCCCGCTTCGGGCCTCGGGGCCGTGAGCAGCTTACGACTCGGAATGAAAGGCAGGCCCCACATGAGAAACCGGGGCCGGGGCATGGATTGAGAGCTCAAAAAAGGGCTGGCGTCTCAACAAAAACGATCAGCACGTCGGAGGTCTGCCTGTGGAAGAACACCGGGAGCGCAAGAGGAGATGGAGGAGAACCAGCAGGAGGGGCAGAACGTGGTACAGCCAATCCGTATCAGAAGGACGCGCGGTGAGGATGCAAGGGGCTCGGAGGGCCAGTTGGCGTTTTTCGAACGCGGCTGGCAAGCGAACGTCGCCAGGCAAGGATGCACGGGCACCCTTGGAAAGGTTGCCCATCCTTATTATTCGGTTGACTGTCCAGTGCGGCCGCGGCCGCAGGAAACCCTCGCAAGAAGCCCAGGCCTGAAACCCGCAGGCGCTAGATGCAAGTGGGGGGGGGCCCAGATCACCCTGGACGCAGCAGCTCCTTCAACGACCACGGGAAGCCACGGCGCAGCGCGCTGAGCGAAGAAACCCAGAGCACCCTGACGAACAGCAGTCAGTTCCTTGATGCGCGCCCCTACTGTATTGGAGCGCAGCGGCTGCAGGACGAGGGTGGCGGCATATGGTCGGGCAGTGCTGCGCTCAACGTGCCGCGGCAGCAACGGATGCATCATCGGCCCGGCCCCGTCCGACGACCCCTTCCCCAGGGCTAATGTTGCGTCCCGGATGGACCCGGGGCGAGAATGCGGCCGCTGGACGCCAGAATCCGGAAAAGCGATGGGTCTGAAACCAGCATGTCCTCGGCGGTCTGGGTGCGACAAGAACACGCCCAGACTCCCGAAAAAACGCAAGACCCACTGAAACAGTCACGTCACAGGCGCACTCCGCGACTCGGTGGTAACTCATGGTAGCCTCCCGTACCGTCTTGTTGGCCGGCGGTGATTGACGCTTATCGACGCGAACCGACGGGGATCGACGCTGAATCTACGCTCATCGATACCAGCCGACGCCAATCGACGCCAAATCGGCGCTGTCTCATTGACTATCAGACGCTACGCTACTCGACGCTAGTCGACGCTACAAAAACGGAATTGAAACAGTATACAGTAGGAGCTCGACCACAAGAAACCTTCCACAAGAAACCCATCCCCAAGACCCCAGGACGTCCCTCGATTGTTGGTGTGGGAACGTCACGCCTTCCATCGCAAAACCATCGAAATCAAAAAGAAACCCAGGGCACCCTGGAGGCAAGCAGAGGGTGTTTATTGGCATTGGCTTCCACTGTACAAGGCTCCAATGACTTGCTGCAGGACTAGGAGAGACATCAACAAACGCCATAAACGTAAATTTTTGGCGCTCCGCACGGATTTCTTGGATCTGCGCTGGAACCCCCTTCCTGGCGAGCGCAGCGCACCAGGGGCGGCGCCGGAGGCGCCGCCAGGGGGGGGCCCCAGCGCGGACCCGAGAAATCCGCGCGGAGCGCCAAAAGGAGTTGTCGATGTCGTTTTCTTCCTCGAGCTTCGCTGAAGGACCCGACGGAATCGATCCATCGAGGAGGGCGCTCGCCGCCTGGTCGGCGTGACGCTCCGCCGCATCGGCGAGGCCACCTCGGCGCGGACGCGGCGCGGGGGCGCTCGCGGGCACCCCCGCGGGCGTTTCTCTCGCCCTCCACGGGGAGAACCCTCGTCGTCGGCGTCAGCGGCAGCGTCGATGCAAAGGCAGCTCCTGGAAGGTCCTCGTGAGGTCGACTAGCGGATACCCAGAGCCCCTCGGGTACTGACAAAAATCACGACGGGAAGTTTTTCGACCTTTTCTGCCTCTGGACCGGACCTCGGGACCGTCGACGAAAAGTTTCAGGATGAAAAACTGGTCTCGGGGAATGTGTCCGGACCTCTCAGGGTCGCGTCATGAAAAAAGTCATGAGGTCCGATTGAGGGGCAGATCCACCCGATTGAACTAATGAAGTGACGCCCACAGTGGAACCATATTCGGCTGGATAATACTAGATTGCGACCACGGATACACCAGCACCGATGCTGAACTCAATATATCCCAGGAGTTGCACCCTAACGTCGGTGGGACAGAGGGGGTCGGGGGAGAACCAGGAGGGCCAGGGACGAGGTCCTCGTCCCCGTCCTTCCCCGTTGACTGGGAGTGCCCTCCTCCTCCTCGCCACGAGGAGGAGGAGGAAGAAGAGGAGGAGGAGGAGGAGGAGGAGGAGGAGGAGGAGGCTCCGGCTCTGACTCGGGCTCGGCGTGCTCGGCTGTGCTGAGAGGGGGTCTGCACAGCAGCCTGGGGGGCGAGCCAGCGCTGCCGATGGCCTCCGGCTGCTCCTGCGCAGGCGCGGTGCCCTGCCTCCCTGCCTCCCCTCCCCCAGGCCTGCATGCCTCGCTCGCGAGCTCCGAAGGGGGGAGCCTCTCCGAGCCTGCGGCGCGGCGTCCGACGCTCGTGGCAGAGTCCGGTCTTCCCGGAGCGGCCTCGCCGCCGCGGCCGGCTCGCCCGCGCGAAGCTCTGATCGGATCGCCCGCGCGAGAAGTCCAAGGGCCGACTTCGAAGCGGCAGTCCCCGACCTGTGACGGTTCAGAAGCACTGCGCAAGCTGTGCTCGCTGGGGTCAGCGTCGTCGGAAGGCCCACCCCCTGGGTCCCTGGACATTCAGAAAACGATTGGGGATGAACAACTGGTTCCAAGGAGGCGGTCGCGAGGTATGGGGTCATGTCCTCGGCCGCGTCGGAGCAGGAAGAGGCGCCAGAGGGATGCGAAAAGGAGGCGCAGGAGGAAAAGCAAGAGGCTGCGGTCGTTCCTCCTCCTGCACTCTCTCGCTTGTACTCCTCCTACTATCTACCCTCCTGTCTCCTCCCCAGACTTCGAGCCTACTGGGCAAATCCGTGGCGCACCAGAGCCCGCTCCGAAGCAAGGCCGTCGTACACACTGACGGGGGGATGCAGAACTGGCCCCGGGGAAGGGCTCTCGAGGTACCAGACACAACTTGCCGAAACAACGCATTGTGGTCTAGGCTTCCTCTTCCTCCTCCTCCTCCTCCTCCTCCTCCTCCTCCTCCTGCTCCTCGTCCGCCATTCTCCTACACAGCCAGGAACACTCAATGTTACTCAGTGCGTGGCCCAGACCATCGATCGGGCATTGGTAGAACTGGGTTTAATTGGGCCTGGCTCAGTGATCTGTACCGGGGGCGCCCCCCCCGTCCCCATTTCCACTGACCGGAACTGCCGCCACCCGAAAAAAACACAAGGTATGGCAAACCTGGTTTAATGATTCTGGCCAATTCGAAAGCTCTGGGACCCTACCATTAACCGCGTGGGGGAGACATGTAATGTGAGCTGATGGGCTGAGAGCAAAAACAAAGAGGTGTAAGTTGTGTGATGACAGTTGTATGGTGTACGCTGGCTGGTGTGCACTGCGAGCGGGAACTTCGTGGACTGGGGCGCAAGCGATGTGGTGCAAGCCTTGTTGCCAAATATGGGCGATGTAAGCTATGTCCATGTAATCTCAGATCTGTGGCGAAAGCTACGTCGCGCACGGTCAAAACACGGGGCGCCCACGGGGCGGCAAGGGCGGCCACGTGGCGCGACCACCTCGGCACCCCCCCCGCAGCGAACGGAATGCCCCCCAAGCGCGGGGCGCCCGCGAGGGGCGCCCACGAGCGGCGACGTGGCGCAGCCTCGGCATACCCTCCAGCGCACGAGGCCCCAACGAGGTGGCACGGGCGCCAGGCGTGGCGCAACCAAGGCGCAAGGACACCCCCCGAGCGCGGGGCGCCCACGAGGGCGCCACGAGTCGGCCACGCGGCGCAAGCTCGGCACACCTCTGGGGCGCGGGGCGCCCGCGAGGCGGCACGAGTGGGCAGCGCGGCGCAACCTCGGCACAGCCTCCAGGCGCGGGGCGCCCACGAAGCGGCACGGGCCGCGACGTGGCGAAAGCCAGCAAAATCCTGCAAAGATTTTGGCGACGAAGGGACGTACGAAACACGAGTTGTTCGGAGGTATGAGTGCCTCGCTCGCTCATCCCCAGGTGTTGCCTACGTTTCCCCCCGTCGATCCGTCTGTCCTGCAATCTGGTTCTCCACACACCGTTTTCTACAATGTGACCAAGCGCCCGCCGGCGGAAGGGATTTTTTGGATTGCGCTCTGATTCGCCGAAGAGTCGGTCAGCATGGTGCGGCACTCACTAGCTGTTGGCAGAAACACGCGGTATATAGCAGCACGGCGCCAAGGTTTGGTGAAACTCCCCGCCCCCGTCACCTCTATATCGGCGGAAGGGAGGGGAGGGGAGGGGAGACGGGGGAATGGCAAACGAACGTGCGCCTAACCAGTCCAGCGGCCAGGGCCGTGCCTGCAGGCGCGCCTGCAGCGCCGCGCGCCAGGTCTCCACGCCATCGCCGGCATGTGAAGACCGATCAGGCACCGCCTGGCAGGGACGCCACCCAGACCAGGCCCTGCGCAAGCTGCGTGCGCCTGCCACGCGGCGCTTGCAAAGAGGGTGCGGGCCTCGGCTGGCGCCGGTGGCGCGGAGGCCCCGCCAGCCTCCGTCGCAGCTCGCGCGTTCCAGCGCCGCGGCCGCTGGCGTGAATGCACAAGGAACGAACATCACGTTCGTTGTTTGTGATCTCACACACGTGCAGCACTCCGAAGCACGCGCTGCTGACAGATCCGCTTGAAAGCTCAGAACTGTTTTTGTTCGCGCACGTGCGGCTCGCTGTTCCGCTTTCCAGCTCGGGCAGGCGCCGCTGGCCGGGGCCGAGCTCTGGCGCCGCGGGGCCCGCGCGCGGCAGCCCACCGGCGACGCCCGCGCGGGGACCGCAAGGCCGGCGGCGTCCGCGGTTGGCCCGCAGGGTCACCATCTCAGTCGCGTCGAGCCCGCGCTGCGGGGCGTCCAGCGCCAACGTGTCACGCGCACACCCAGGGTTGCCCAGGTGTGGTTTTGGATGGTTGATTTCTCCCCTCGCAGCATTCCCGGCCCCTCAAAGAATGCGCTCTGGCTGCAGCTGTGGCGACGATCGTGGACTACCACGAAACCTTCGCCCAGCGAAGCGTCGAGTTCGCCGCATCGCTGGCCGTCTCCCTCTATACGCAAAATTGTTGCTCCCGCTGAAGCAGTTGCCACGTTTCACAAGTTCCCTCGAGCATCCATCCAATGGCACGACGCTCTCGCCGCAGCACTGGCCATTTTAGTGCATCCACGAAAACGTAAGTCCCATTGCAGCGCTTGCCGTATGCAGAGAGCGACCATCCCACGGAACGACGCTCACGACGCCGCGCTGGTCGTACGAATGCATCCGCGCTGGCCGTGCGACTGCATCAGCAAACCGTGGTGTTCCCGCTTTAACGTTTGCCACGTCTTCTTCGGCATTCGATTTTGCGAATACAGCGTCTCAGCTCCATCGTAAGGGACGGAAGGTAGACGTATGATGTCAGATATGGCGCGAGTGAGTCAGTCTTGACCTCACCTCCCTCAAACCCTCCTCTTCCTTCTCTCCTCCTTCTCGTTCCTTCTCTCCTCCCTCCCCGCCACCTCCCTCCCTCCAAACGTCTTCCCCACAGGAAGTGGAGCAGAATCGACGGGTTTGGCCGCTGTGGGCCCCTCTTGGGCCTCCGACGGCCACATTCGTGGCATCGCCAGCCGCCCTGTTCTCCCTCGAAGCGACGGGCAAAATCCATCCCGATGCGAGGTTTGTTTGTCCCGGGGCTGAGAAAGGGCCCCCCCCAGGACAGAGCCTTTCTGAGGTCCTCCAGAGGTCCAGGGTCTAGGCCACGAGAGTTCTCTGGGCAACACTCCCTGAGGTCCTCCAGAAGCCCACTCAGAAGCACTCAAAGAGTCCAAGCTCCTCAACTCTCAGTTCTCGCTACTGGCTCGATTGATGAACAGTTCCAGGCGTCTTCAGGGGTGCGTTCTGGCAAGAGTTTCCCAGAGAACCCAGCCATTGCAACGAGGTGGCCCCGCAAGGCGGAATGAGGCCCCAAAGCAGCCCGATCCTCGACCCTCGATCCTAAAGAGCTCCGCCCCCCCCCCCCCGCCTCCCTGCTGCTACATCCCCTTGACCCCTCCCCCAGCTCCCTCCCCCCTGCTCCCCCCCCCGCCTCCCTTATATCTGCCCTCTCTCTCCTGCTCCCTCCTGCTCCTTCTCCCCCCCCCATCCCGACGACGATGACGACGACGACGACGACAACGACGACGACGACGACGAGAAAGGCAAAAGACAGGGACGACGCAGTCGCCGACGACGCCGACGCCGACGCCGACGACGTCGACGTGGGCCGCCTGCAGGGGCGGCGTGGTCTGCCCGTCGTCCGACTCGCCGCCGGACGTGAAGGTCCCGTCCGTCGGGCGGCCCTGCCGCCGCCGCCGCCGCCGCCGCCGCAGCTGCCGTCGCCGTCGCCGTCGTCGTCGTCGCCGTCGCCGTCGTCGTCGTCGCCGTCGCCGTCGTCGCCGCCGCCGCCGCGCCCGCCGCAGTGGCCGCCGCGAGCCGTCGCCGCCGCCGCCCAGCGGCGGCCAGCTTTGACCCCGGCCGTCGAGCCTGGCGGTTCTGGGGTCGAGGCTCTTGACAGCTTTAAGTCCGGCCTGTCCCCTACAGGGAGATTTTCCACGAAAAATAAGACATACCCTAAAAATAATCAAAACATGATCCAAAAATAGTCGGCGGATTATGTTTTGAATACTGTTGGACCTTTTGGGGGCATTTTTGAATATTTTTTATTTTTTGTCGAAAATCCCCCTGTAGGGGGACAGGCCCGACATAATGATAGCTCCTGGCTCTCATTCGCCCCCACTCTTCAGGAAGCTTCTGGAGACCTTCGGGGACCTCTGCGGGGATCGGGGCTTCCTGAACGGGGGTCGGCCTAAACGGGGGCTTAGGCTTTTTCAGATTCCCCCCCGTTTACCGTGCCCCCGTCTACGGCGCCCAGGGCTCCCGAAACGGGACCATAGCCAAACGTGGAAATCGGCGTTCTCCGTGCCCCCGTTTGCTGTGCCCCCGTCTCTGGCGCCCTGAAGGGACTTCCAGAGGCCTCCGCTTGTCGGAACTTGACCGCGAGACACTGTTCTGGACAAGTCGCGCACAAGATCTCTGCCCGACACCCGGGGGGAACGAAAGGGTGGGATAGCAAAGGGTAGGGTAGAGAATCAGCTTACGCAGCTGATTTTCCCAGCGCCTCCCGACGCCGGGAGGCGCCCATGTATCGAGGAGTGGGCCCGGCGGCGGGGCCGAAACCAGCTGCATGCAGCAGATTTCGTAACCCCCCCTTTTCCATATGCCCCCCTTTCGTTCGGCCCGACACACGAGAAACCTGCCGCTGCATAGGAACAAGGGAAGGCGACACCAGCACCGCCAGGGCGAGGAGGAGGCGAGGGGGGACTCCCTGGTGGTGTGGCCCCCCCCCCTCCTCGCTCGAGGCATCCCCAGCCTCCAGCTCGGGAAGGCATCGGACCTCCTCGCGGAACCCCCTGTCCTTCGGCCCGAGACCCCCCCTGTGCGCGGTGGTCCCTCCTCGCCGCCGAGAAGGTGCGCCGCGCCGACCTGCCTGGAGTCCTTCCGGGCCGCCGCGGCGACGGCCCCCGCCCTCGATGGCTTTGTTGAGCTCAAAAACCAGACCTCGGCGTCGTGTCGTGACCAGGGCGGGGGCCAGTGACGGCAGGAGCGGGGACAACGGCGGCGACCCAGACCTCCCAGCGTCCCGGCTGGAGAGGCACTCCTTGCAAGGGCTCCACGATGGGCAGGCCTCCGAATGCCGCCCCTCTGACCACCCCGGGCCGCCGGAGCACGATCCAGGACCAGAGCACGGCTCTCACGGAAAGAGGTCGGGAAATCCAGGGACCCCGCTTCGTAACAAATCAAGACGCCGGAGAGACCTGAACGACAACGACGTCAGCGACAATGGCAACAGCAACGGAGATCCGTGAACCGAATGCTCAACCGATCATTAACACCAACATCGCCACGAGATCTCACAACCGTAAGCATACTCGCCAGCACCATAGCTGCTTGCCCAAGCGCAAATCCGCAAACGTCCTAAATGATAGCCCGCAACGGCACTGGATCTGGATGTTCCATACGCGGTGGCCCTGCGACTCGCTGTGGCTTCGGCAAGGAGGCCATTCCCATCCAGCGTTTCCACCCCACAGCTCGCTCTTGATCGTTTACTCCAGACGTGACTGCGTAGCAATGCCTGCGGTCTCCTGTCTCTGCGTGTCCCGTCGAAGTCCTCTAGCACGTGTCAGCACAAGAACTCCTCGCAGTAGATGCGGTCATTTTCGACGAGCAAGGCGGCGAATCGCAGGAGAGCCGTGGTCAAGACGGCCTCCGACTCGGATCATTGAGGTTCAGGACGCGCGCCTGGAACTGCCACAGATACCCATTGTAAGTCCTCATCGCCGGCAGCCCGTTTGCCGCACATATGCTCTTCATTGCTTCGTGCACGTCCTCGGTTGGCACCTGTGCCGATGGCAGCAGCCCCCGCGCGACCAGATACTGGACAACGGAGCCGCTCTGTGGGGGGAGCTGCCATGTCGGCCCATGTGCATCGCTCAAAATTGCAGCCTTCAGCTCGCTCGCGCCCAGCGGAACCCCTGGCCTGTATAGCCCAATCTTTGATAACTGGCGCTTGTTCACAGCCATGCGGCTAAATACTAGCATGGCCTCACTCAAGTCGGTGTTCAAGCATGAGTCCATGTAGCCCAATCGGAAGAGAACTCTCTCCACCAGATCGTGCGAGTTTCGCATGATGAAGGGCCCACCCCCTGCAGCAATTCTGGCTGAGGCGTCATCCAGGGGCTCTCTCTTATGCCTTCGCACGGGCAGGACGAAAGCGAATGCTTGCCCGTGGCCTTTGCTGACTTTCTCAGGTGTCGCACGAATCAGATCCAGCATGCTCTGCAATGCGTACCAGTAAGGAAACACATCTAACCTCCCGAATTGGTTACAATACCAAAGCTTGGCGATAGCTGGAGCGATTTCAGAGGCGTTGGTTCTCGAAGAATTCGTAGACATGTAGCCATGAGAGCGCAGATACGCAACAACGGTGTCATCACATGTTTCAACGTTGGCAAGTGACTCTGGAGGGTCTAAGTAATCAATTCCGCCAGATCCATCCGATAACAAAAATGCTTTCATTCGAACCGGGAAGTCTGCCTCCTTCGCGACCAGCACCTGCCACCCCGCCTGTGAAAAGAGCTGCTTCTGCGAGGGGCTTGCACTGCTGAAGACAACGATGGCCACCTTGCCTTGCTGATCCAACTTGGCTGCTAGCTGCACGAAGTCCGCGTTCCTGGCTAGGAGAGCAATGGCTTGCACTGGTGACTTGGCGAGTCGGAGTGCCTCCCGACAGATGGCGTCATCGTTCGGGTCCCGGGTGGAGTCTGCGCCGCGCGGCACCGGGTGGAAGCGGATGCCTCTCTCTGCCAGGTACGCGCGCCAGGTCCTGTTGTGGACGAGCCCGGGCATCGCGAACATCGACACGCTCACGACCTCACCTCGCTCGCTCAGCACCGAGACGGCCCCATCGATCGAGCCCCGCGACACCCGGTCCCCATCTCGGGGGCGCCCCGGAGGGGGCAGGAGGCGCGCGCGCGCGGGCCAGGACGGGGGGGAGGGGACGCGAGGAGACACACGCACACAGACACACACACACACACACACACAAACAACACACACACACAACACACACCCACAAACACACACACAAACACGCACACACACACACACGCACACATCACACACACAGCACACACACACACACTACTTGCCACCACCCCTTCCTGGACGCCCCCGACCATCGATCAGCAGCGCGACGGACCCCTGCACGGCCGGAGAAGGCGCACCGCCCCGGCCGGCAGCTGCGGCGGCAGGCGCGGCCCGCCCGCGGCGTCGGGGGCGGAGCCCCGCGGCTCCGGGGCGCCCGCGGCGGTGCACGCTGGGGGGAGGAAGAGGTGCCCAGAGCGACGCGGGGGTTGACGAGGGGATCTGGTAGAGGGAAGAGAACTATGCACATACACCGATTCCGGCCAGGCCCATCCTGAGACCAGGATCGGTGCATGCGCCCTCGTACCTCGGCCAGGAAGGGCTGCGCACCGGTCCTGGGTCAAGGATGGACGTTGTCAGGATCGGTGCATGCGCATAGTTCTCTTCGCCCGAATCTGGTGGGGGTGCGGATGGGAGTGAGGAGGCGGGCGCGGGGCGGGTCGCGGGTGGGTCGCGGGTGGGACGCGGGGCTGGTCGCGGGGCTGGTCGCGGGTGGGTCGCGGGGGGTGCGACAACAACAACAACAACAACAGCAACAGCAATAACAACAACAGCAACAACAACAACAACAGAAACAACAGCATCAACAGAAGCCATTTTGGCACGGGTCGCTCTTGTCTGTTCGCGTGCCATTCAACACGCCCTGTCCGTCTTCGATCGTACCCCCCTTGGGGATCTTATCTCCCCTACTTGCTGCGTGTACATGATTGGCGCAGCCCCTAACAAACATGGAAGGAGGGGAGGAGTGAAGAGACAAAGGAGACGGGAAACGGGATAATGATGGAGCACGAGAGAGATGTGCAGGAGGAGGGTTACGAGCAGGAGCACGAGCGGCAGAACGAGACGGGCGTGTCGGGCGGGCGGACCCTAAGGGGCAGGTCGGGCGGGCGGGCACAAACAGCCAGGTCGAGCGGGCGGGTCGCGAAAGCGGCACCCCATCATGAAAGAACGTTCGAACGATAGCGCGGTTTCTATGTAAATCGTTGGGACATCCAAAGCGACAGCGTGGTTCGTGAATATTGGGGGCTCGGCGCCGCAATAAACCGTGAGGAAGTACCACGCGAGAGCGCGATCCCTGCACACATCATGAAGCAATCCCGCGCGAGAGCGCAAACGTGAAATACACTGTGAGGAAGCATCAGACAAGAGACCCTTTGTTGTCGTAAACCAGAAACCAACAGCTCAGTTCGGTGACCCCAAAGCTTCCCTTGTGCAAAAGCAGGGTGCGAACCCAATGGAGGAGCACTGCAATGGAAAAATTGACCGGTCACTGGGCAAAAGGGGACCAACAGTAATTATCCGGTAGAAACAAAAATCGGCGGTGGACAAACCTCCCTTTAATAAACCTCCCCTTAGTCAGAACGGCCTGGGACCGAAACCGACGGACCAGGACCCGCAAAAATGGCGACCGCGACGCCCTCTCGCGAACCGAAAACGCCAACTCCTTAATCGACGCGTCAGGGTAGGAGGTCTATCCACATCCGAAGAAAAGCGACAACAATATCAGCAACATCAACAACAACCATCATTTCAAGACTGTTTTCAAAACTGTTGGCTCTTACCTGCTCGCGTGCCAATCAACATGTACAGCCCAAACCTTCGGTACCCGATCTTTTCATCTTCGATCGTATCCCCCTGGGGGTATATCGTCTTTACCTGCCGCGCGTACAGGTGTGCAGTCCCTGGAACAACTGGAAGAGAGGACGGATGGAGGGGGAAAGGCTGGATCACAGGATTAGCAGGAGGGGGGCTAGCAACATAAAGCACGTGGCAAAACGAGACGGGCGTGTCGGGCGGGCAGACCCGAACGGGCGGGTCTGGAAAGCGGGCCCGAACGACCAGGTCGAGAAGCCGCGTTGCTGAAGCATGAGTACTGCATGAATCGCGAGGAAGCCTCGATCGATAACGCGATGTCCAGGTCAATCGTGACAAAGGCCAAAGCGAGAGCGCGATTCATGAGTGCCGGGGGCGCTGCGTCTGAATCACTGCGAAGAAGTCCCAAGCGAGAGCGCGACATCTGCATAACTTGTGGTGACGTCCCGCGCGCGAGCGCGATGTTGGAATACATTGTAAAGACGTATCAGGCGGGAACCGATGAACTTTCACAAGTGAAGAATGATTTGTGTTGATCCCCCCAATCCAGGGTACGTTCTAATTTTTTCAATTGGAGTGCCCATCCCGGGGCTCGCATCCTGTGATTTTATCAGGGAAAAGCTTGGGTCTCAGAGTTGGGCGCTTGGCTCCCGAGTTACAGCAACAACATCAACAACAACAACAGCTCCCGCCGAATGTTTCACTTTCTCGCAAGTTATTCAGACGCCGCGCCCTCGACACTCAGTAATCATGCTCTCGCTTTAGCTGTACTCATGGTCTACCCGCCCGATCTGCCCGTCTGGTTCTGCCACATGTGTTATGCTCCAAACAACCCCCCCGCTACTCTCTCTCCCTCTCGTGCTCCATCCTCCTGCCTCCCCCTTGTCCCTTTCTTTCATCCGTCCTCTCTTCCCTGCCGTAGGGGCTGCATGCAATCAACGTTGCATGTAAGAAAGATATACCCCCAAGGCGGTACGATCGAAGACGAGGAAGGCGGGTGACGGGGGATTGCGATATACGTGTTGAGTGGCACAAGTGCGGATATGAACGAACAAACTTGAAATCATTGTTGTTGTTGAACTCTCACTACTGAAGAACGAATATTGTTGATCCCCCGCCCCTCAGGGACACATTGCATTTGTTCAATGGAACAGCCCTTCCGGGAGCTCGCACCCGTTTTTTTTATAAGGGAACGTCTTGGGCCTGAGGATTGGGCCCCTCGCCCCCGAAATACAACAAGCGTGAGTCCTGCATCATTCGCAAGGAAGTTTCGAGCGACAGCGCGATTCCCAGGTAAATCGTGAGGACAGCTAAGGCGAGAGCGTGATTCCTGAGGGTCGAGGGCGCGGCGTCTGAATAACTTTTAGGGAAGTCCCACGCGAGGGCGCGATTCTTGCATACATTGTGAGGAAGTCCCGCGCGACAGCGAGATTTTGGAGTAACTTGTGAAGAACATTTCGGCGGGAGCAAGTGTTGTTGTAACTCCGGGACAAAAGGCCCAATTCTGAGACCCAAGGCGTTCCCTGATAAAAAAACCGGGTGCGAATCCCCAGGTGGGACACTTCAACTGAAAATGATACAATGTGCCCTGGAGGGGGGACCAACAATAATCATGCATCAATACGTTGATTTTAAAAAATACATGTCACTATTGTTCGCTCTGATTTGCGTGCGCGCCATCCAACATGTATATCCCAAAACCTCGTCACCCGCCCTCCTCGTCTTCGATTGTAACCCCCTTGGGAATTTATCTCTCTTACCTGCACCGTTTATTTCATGCAGCCCCTATGGCATGGAAAGAGAGGACGGATGGAAGAAAGGGACAAGGGGGAGGAAGGATAATGGAGCACGAGAGAAAGAGTAGCAGGAGGGGGGCTAGGAGCAGAAAGCACGTGGCAAAACCAAACGCTCAGACTGGGCGAATAGACCCTAACAGAGCAGGGTCGGGAAGGCGGGTCCATGAGGCCAGGTCGAGCAGGCGGGATGCTGAAGCGTGCGTCCTGCATGAATCGCGTGTCTCGAGCGATAGCCCGATACCCAAGTTATTCGTGAGATAGGCCACAGCGAGAGCGTGACTGAGTGTCGAGGGCGCGGCGTCCGAATAACTTTAAAGGAAAACCAAGCGAGAACGCGATTCCTGTATACATTGTGAGGACGTTCCTCCGCAAGAGCTCACTTGTTGTGACCCCGGGGCCAGGAGCCCAATTCTGAGACCCAAGCTATACCCTGATAAAAAAGAGTGCGAACCCCGGGAAGGGCACTTCAATTGACAAAAAAACGATGTGCCCTGGAGGGGGGGATCAAAAATAGCTATTCTTCAACAGTGAGAGCACAAGAACAACTTCAACCAAACACACAAACAAACAAACAAACAAACACAAACAAACAAACGAACAATCGCAACAACACCACCATCTGCAACAACACCAACAGCTACAACACGAACCATAGTTAAAACAAAAGCAACAACAGCATCAACAACAACCAAGACCAACGCCAACAACAACAATAACAACAACGACACAAACAACAGCATAATTCGAGCCGCGCACCCCAGGAATAGTGTGAGACCGTTTGGCCCCATGACTCTGATCTGTGGATGCCAAGGTGGGCTATGTCTGGATTAACCTAGCCTACGAGTGTTCAAGTGGCTCAGGGGACCAGATATCCGAACAATGGGCGGAACCAATTGGCCCGGATAAGTAGTACCGCTAAGCCACTCGAGGCACTTCTGGCCCTCTTATAAGCCAACCCACCCTGGCATCCACTGATGACCCCCCATCCCCGTAGCAACTTCCCCGCGAAGCCTGGTAATTACCGATCCCGCTGCTCCACGAACTTCTCGCAGGCTGCGCGCTGACCAGACGCTCGAGGCGGATCCAGCCGTGGTGATGAGGGCCCCCGAGGGAGGCTCCAACAGGAGAAGACGAGGCAAAGCCCCGGGGTAACGGTATCGGCACCTCCCGTGGGCGAAAGCATGTCCGCATCCGCGGCCTCGTGGGCCGGGCCCCTGGGCCGCAACCCCGAGGCCTCACGCGGGGCGCTCTCTCGCGCATGCCCCCCCGAGCGGGACGTATCCGTGCGACCGCGCACCCTCCGGAGCGCGCCCCGAAGCCCAG